AAATTGTCAAAGAGCAAAATCGTCCAAAATAGTTTCATTTCCCATGCATGGTGACGAATAACTGACAGTCATCAAAAGCATCGAAACCCACACAGGCCACTTCACGCGTGATTGCGAAAGAAAACAAACATGTGAAAACAAGCGTTTAAACGTCATTTGTGATCAGTCATCAAACAGATGAAAGAACGACTGGACGTAAGAATTAAGACCATGTGGAAGGCATTCGTCACTTAAACCGTCACGCCCCGATTACACCATCACACATAACGCCCAGTCATCCGCTCAAACAAAAGATCAGACAAAACCCAAATCCACCGAGGAATAGTTGGGATACAAAAGATGCCCACGATGTCAATATTACTCAGTGCATCGCTCAGCATTCAGTTCCGTATGCCCAACACACCGGAAAGGTGACGTGTATACGCGAACGTACTACTCGAAAACTCGTATAATACACGCAGTGCAGTACTTGCACGTGCATAAATACCCGAAAACAGTGTATTATTGCAAAAAGGAAACAATCATCAAGCATTCCGCGCTATACGTGTCAGTACACTTTTTGGCGGAACTGATCATTTTCCTGTTTGTGTTCCAGCACAGAAGTCTTCCTCAAAATCCCCCCAAACAAACAAACAAACAAACAAACTACCCCCCAAAAAACACAGAAATCGACAGCGTGACTCGATGACGTCATGGTGTTTGTTTCTTAAAATGACGGGGAACTAATTAAACCAACCCATGCACGGATATTAATGCCAATTACACAGGCCATCAAGCATGGTGTACACAACATGCAGCCCTAATACGAAAATATGTATTTGGTTTTTCAAACGGAAAATCCAGAAATACCCCCCCAAAAAAAAACAAGCGTTGGTGTGAGGCATTTCACCACTCGGTCGGTTATAAATGAAGGCATTTTAGTGTAGTGTATAAAATGTATATTCTGATCGTCGAGCAATACTCGTTGCCAATAATCGAAACATAATATTATTGATTCACGCGTATTACTATAGACACATACAATCATCAAGAGATTTTGTTCTGAACAAATTCGATCGACTTTTAAAGAAGGCCTTTTAAAAAAACGCACACATTTTTAATTGCACTTCTGTTTTAAGACACAAGTTTCTCTACTCGTAAACCTACCATCTTGAATCGAAAGACAGTGGGCCATTCAAATATATTTAAACTCAAAGAGTAGCAATGAAGATGATGCAATAGAGGACAATTTAATATTTAATCTCAATGTACTCTGACGAATAAATCAAATTCTATGATATGGATGAAAAGTCATTTCATCATTTTGTCTCAAATGAATATGAATTTATAACTAGGAGCAGGCAATGAAAAACAGCCTGGTACCCTTTTCTCTCAAACGTGTGCAACCAATCAAGTGGACTCGGGGATTACGATCAAAGGTAACATAATGATCGTAAATATAGGCCTGGTGAACTGAGTACATCCGGCCATAAATATACCGACCCATCAATTATACAAGAAGCGAATGGAGAAAGAAGAAAATGATATCAAGAGCACCGGATGTGGTTGATGTATACGATTTCGCCGTTGTCATTAATAAGACGAAGCTCTCCACAACAGTTATACGATCTCTTTATTGGTTTATCTAATCACTTCTTTATGCGCTTGCAAAACCGTAATGAGCCTTCGACAACATCCTGTGAGTTTATCACGGAAACATTAATGGTTAATTTAATCGACACAGAATTACGTAAATTACTTCTTCACCTCAACTTGAAGTACACAACTACCATACACTGCTGTTTTGGTCATGTATACTAGTTGCACTCATATAGGAATAACAGACAAAATGTAAGAGGAAGCCAGCAAACTAATTGACAAAGGCAAACACGAAAAAAACAAAACAAATGATTTCGTCAGCTTGAATTCAACAATTCTTGGAGATTTTTTAAATATTAAAAACAAGCATTATAAAAATGGTAAGACTGAGATTTGATACAAATCAATTACCATTCAAATTTCCTAGAATATATTACATCTTGCCCCATCATTAAAGCGTGACTTTTAATAAAATAAGCTTTTTATATCGGTGCAGGCTCGACTTTCCATTATACACGTATCGAGTTTACGGATGCAACTCATTTGTTACGCAATAACCGGATGGGGCTGGTCTCGTTCAATAGTACGAAACAACGAGTCCCGGAAAACCGTATAATTCAATACGGCTCTTCAAGTCAACGCACACTACAAGTACAACTACAGACATCCAGTGTGATCCAAATTCATTCATAAATAAGGACGGGGGAATCAAGACCGTCATATCGAATTTCCTTCTTTTCAGCCTCGCCTCCTCCAACGAAACAATTGATCCCGGCAGAGAATATTCCCCCTTATTTTTTTTCTAAAGACATCTTCTAGCGTTACGCCGTCTCCTTATTGTTTGTGTTCGCGGGAACATAGATAAAGCCGTAAGAGTCTGGCTTAAACTCCGAGTCCGTTTCAACGGCGGTGCGAGCGCAGTTGGCGCGCGTTAAATGCAGGCGACTTCCGCAAGCCACGGTGCGAGCGAATGCATCTAATAAAAGACCAATCAATGTAGTGGTTTTTAATTTCCGTCGGTGCAGTGGACAACCATTCACTCCAACTTCCTCGGCAGGGCATCACCTTTCCTTTTTTTGTGTTCTATTCCCTTTTTTTCAGCATACAGCAAAGAAGAGGGGGGGGGGGGTTTCGTAAAATCTAAGTACATGAGCGGAAGCTAGGAGAGACATCAACAAATACAATACAGCTCGGTTCGTATGGCCGTCTTTCCAGCCGTCATTGAGCTGCGTCCTCGGCAAGCCCGGTCGATTATCCAGCTATTCTACTGTGGCAACTGCATAGTATTTGGATGTACAGGAGTAACTTTTCTTTTGTAGATTACTCGAAGCACCCCGGATTAAGTCTACTTGAACGCGGAACACGTAGCCTAAACGCATGCGCTTGTTCACTTCAGTTTTGTTGTCTACTTTAATATACAAAACTTGATAAATCACAACAACAAACTTAACGACCTTTTGAAATCTGATAAAATCGATCACTAATACCCATGCCTCTCTAGCTCTGCTCGTTCTTTTTTACTGCTTACCCCAAATGAAGTAATTCATTCAAATTTCAATATGTACTCAAAAAACTTGAGATAAATCATATCTGGACCGCTTGTGGTTTCTGACGTTGGTTACATTATAATCTTTGGCCCGCCCTCGATTCAACAGATAATTCACTGGACGGACTCTGGAGTACACCCATAAAAACATTTCATTGTGCAGTTGGGCAACTTCGGAGTTCACCGCTAAAAATAACCAGCTGAGGAGTTCCAAAGTCAAAGATTCGATAAACATTTACATTGGACAAGCGTCACTGTTCCTGCTCGCGGGTAAACACGAAATCTGAAGCACTGTATCATGCAGTGGAATGCATCAGTAACACTTTTTGTTTACCTTAGTTATCTTAAATGCGTCCGATAACGCTGGGTTTTTTTTAAATGAAGATAATATTCTTCTTCTTGTTTTCATTACGTGACAAGCATTGACTTGCATGACTAGCATAATACTATCTTTGCCCGACCAATTGTACTCCGAACAAGTTCAAACAAGATGGAAAAAAAACATTACCACAAACAATTTTTCGAGATTTGGTTTCGCTTTATGAGGACAATACAAGAGGCGTCATCCTGACAATAAATGGGGCGTCATCAGGGCGTGGTTGGGGGCGAAAACCCAAGACGTTTGTCACTGGGGTGAGGGAGGACCAAAGATGAATAATTTGAACACAATATCGGTATAATATCTTGCTTCACTTTACAAACCCAAAATTTATGACGGTCTATCACGTCACGGTCTTTGGAATTACAGACAAATCCGACAGAAGAAATGTATATAACGTCCACTAATTAGATGGTCGCGGGTGACTTCATCGTCAAGTCAGCACAGTCAGTGTATAATAATAATCTCAATCTTCCAGCATAATTGAACCATCGACTAGTATCATAGGCTAACTATAGGACTAGAAAGCAGGCCAGCAGATGTACATACAGGGTGCGCCCCCAACTGTGGCTTCGTCCCAACTTTGTGATCCCAACTACTGTTAGGATTTTGGAATACCCAACTATAGTCGGGATCATTGTAATACATGCAGTTGGGGCATAACACTTACTGGTCAGTCGCTTTCAATATCAGACCAGGACAGGGCAAAATTATTTAATTTAACAGTAAATAATCGACAACGATTTTTAAAAATAATTTATAATATATATTATAATATTTTTATCAATGTGAATCATAGCCTTGGTGTGTTTCATTAATTAATAAATTATTACAAATTAAAATGACAAAGACTATATCCATACAGTTCCTTGCTCAACAAAATACTGCAGTATACCATTGCTTTTACCATGGAGCTTTTTAAGTTATAGCTCCATGAGTACTATGATTTGATATGGATTTTGTCAAGTTACAAACAGCCACATCGAGAAGATTTACATGCATAGGACAGTAGTATCTCAAGCCATTTATAGTATTGGTTTCTCCATTACAATTTTTGCTCCACTGCCAATGCCATAGGAAAGGATATGTGTGACATTGCTGTATTCTTTACCACTTACCGACATGACCGTGCCTCTGTTCAATGGTTTCTTATTTTGTTTCATTCGTTCACATGCAACAATTGTATCATGCACACTGCATCATAGGCTTGTTTTGAAATTGTTGGAATCCTATTTAAGTGTATATATGGAAAAAATTCCATACTGGGCCACCACTCAGACCTCCTGCACTAAGTCTATGGGCCATGACAGAAAAAGTTAAAGAGTATTTAAAAAAAAATGTTGCACTCCTTAAATCATTTGTAAATAGTGTTTCATCATCAGATTTACAACTTTTGGTACTTTTCAGGTCATATTTGGAAATATGGGTGGTGGCCCAGTATGGAACTCTTTCCAAAAATACTGCAGTAAATTTTCAAATAGGCCATGCAGATCTTACCTTGAAGAAATGTAATTTCTGTTGTGAGATGGCTGACTGGGGCTTGAAGTAGAGACTCCAGCACCAAGACTAGATCACTGTTGTCTCTAATGGTTGATTCTCCTATTTCCCCCGTGCCTTGGTCGTACACCACGACGGCTGAGAACAACCCGGCAAGAAACTCGGCCCTTGTCTCCGGGCAGGTAACGATATAGTCCATGGCCAGCGCTCCCTTGGAGCGTCGCCGGAGCAGCCTCGGGCAGTGGATGTTGTGGGCCCCGCTGATGTGGTTGTCGTTGAACTGCATGAACGGTCGTGAATCCACCAGCAGAACTCGCCGTGTGTCGCCGGCCTCACCGGCCAGAACGTGCCGCAGCTCATCGGTGGAGATCGGCCGTACGTGTACAGACACCGTCATGGCCGAAGAAGTAGGAATTCCAGACTAGAAAATACAGTTAACTTACTGAGAATATCAGCCTAACACTCGCTGTTTACAATATTATGTACAACGGTAGCCCTTGTTCGGTCCGTTGTGTACGTGTCTGTGCCTTAACACTACCGATATCGCACCGCGTGTTTGTGTGCACTGCGTATGGGAAGAGATTCTTGTTGTTGATGTTTTGGCGCGAAGCGAAAGATCTAATCTCTTTATAGCCGGACAGCCAAATTAGGGATATGACGACAAGGAATGAATGACCGCGGGTCACGCTTCTCGCATGCCACAAAACCGCAGCCCTATTACCGTTGACCAATCACTGTCGGAAAGGCATCGCCCATTCATAAAAAGGAACCGACGAATCACCTGATTCGCGTACAACTCTGAAAAAAGTAGTTTCACGTATTTACTGAATGATTATGGTAGAACCATTTAAAGGTAGGGTATAAGAAAATGCTAGTCAAAAATTCAACGTGTTTTGTCACCCCTTGGTTTTATTAAGGAACTGTAAGGAAAATGTTAACAGTTCCGATCGGCGAATCACACAAATCCTTCCGCACATGACTCACGACCTTGACGTCACACGTGGAGGGTTTTCCCCACTGCTGCTATGCGCCTTTGTTCAGCGTTCGTGCACAATGTGTACAAGATGTGTACAATGCCCTGCATGTACATGTACACGTACATGGACATGTTTTGTACATGTACTGTACAGTGTACACACGCCGCGTCAAAACATTATTGGACATGCCCGTTTGCACATGTGTGCTTCTAAATGCAACATACGACATTTCCTTCCTGTAAAGAAAAGAAAAGGTTTGGAAAAATTAATTATCGCCGTGACAGTATAAATTTATGAAGATACTCCAAGGATGGGCTTTTCATAATATCTGATCCATATTGACCGCCTTTTCGAAAAACAAACGAGGAATTATCACTTATATTACCGCGTGGTCTGAAATACTTGAATTTGAGTGTGTTTAAAGGGAATTTGAAAACATCAAACAAAAAATTAACAAAATTATTTTTGAAATACCTTGCTGGACTGTTAGTGAATGACAGTCTAATTAAAGCATCCTGTAAAATCATGGCACCTTTTGTGCTGTCCGTTTTACAAGAAATTTCAGGTGGTATTTCTTTATCAACTTCTAACGCTGGTCGGCCGTTTGGCTAGGATTTTCAGATTGGCTAGGATTTTCTGGCTTTTTTTCAAATACTGCCCCCAATTTACCATATTTAGTGAGTCCGCATTTTGTTTGAAATCGATTACGAACGGGTGCAAGCCAGCTACACTGGTTCCCTAACCTTTCAATTCCCGGACGTTCGTAAATTGCTCCGTTTCATCTTAAGTGGGGTCAGGCAACCAGGCTACAGGAACATATCATTGTTTTTCTTGGTTTTTCAAGCATCTACGAACACAAAACTTCAAACAAGTCAGTAACAATATCTGCTATAAAGTACTAACACCCCCCCCCCCGACCGGCACTGAGTCAACCTACACACACGTTATAAATGGATTGCATTCATTAGCCATCTTTAAGGTACTTTGTTATGTTAATAGCTCCATGGTTAATCCATATCCATAATTCATATGCCTGTTCACAAAAGCACACACCTCCAAGATGGCTGCAGTGTAAGCGGTCTATTGGGAGTGGATTCAGCAATGGTAACTGGCACATTGCGTACCGTGACACAGAGCCACGCATGCGTGCAGTGCGTTTCAAGAAATGACACGTGCATGCAGTTCTCACAGTGAGTAAGTTTAACACATAGGTTTTTGACCGCAAGGGTAAAACCACATTTGACAGAACGGGTTGGTATGTCATAGGTGCATGGTTTTGTTGTGAGTCAACGCACTTTAGCCGCCCATACTTTACCACTTGAATCTGCTAGTGATCAAACGATACTAAAACTTTTACTTACAGGTCCGTCACGGTACCACACAGAAATCACCAGCCGTGCAGGTGGCCCGAGGGAATGCCCTGTTTTGAGAATTACACATTCTCACAATGATGAGAATTTTTCTTTTCCAAAAGAACTCTTACCGTAAACTTCACATGCATAATATATCCATGTATTCTCATAATATATTATGGAGCGGGCATGTAAAAAAACAAAAAAAAAAACACAAATGGCGCCCCTTCTTTTAAAAAAAAAAAAAAGAAGTTCAGCATGTGTAGGGCGTTCAAGATCTAGGATGTAAAAGCCCAATTAATAAGCTTTATTTTAGTAAAAGATTCGTTCATATCGCTCATGTAACCTCGTCCCCAGTGCTTACTTTATTTCCAACCACTCTTCCAATAGTAAGCCCTGGATAAGAAACTTTCTTCCTGTATCCTGATTCGATACCGCAATTGGCTAGTATTGGCTAGCAATTGCCATCGGCGTCGCATTTTTCGGCGTCGCATTGTTCAGCTCTGCATGGATCAATTTGATCGATTTCGTGCAAGACTTTTATGCAAGACTTCTTGCAACACGGCCAGATCTTATTGTGCACTCGCACTTGTTTCTATATTGCTGGTTGGTCTGTCTGTCTGTCTGTCTGTCTGTCTGTCTGTCTGTCTGTCTGTCTGTCTGTCTGTCTGTCTGTCTGTCCCAAAAATTGACACAAGTATGGTGGTCCGTAATGTGCCATCGGTGTCGCATTTTTCGGCGTCGCGTTAAGTTCAGCTCTGGCAGGGATAATTTTTGATCGATTCCATGCAACTTTCATGCAAGACTTTTTGCAACCGCGGCCATAGCTTATTGTGCACTCGCACTTTTTAAGCTCTGGCAGGAGCTTCTATACATGTCACTTGGTGGTCGGTCGGTCGGTCAGATGGTCTGTCTGTCTGTCAGTCTCCGGAAAATTGACTTGAAGTATATGGCGGTCCATATGTGCCATCGGCGTCGCATGTTTTGGCGTCGCATTTTTCAGCTCTGGCAAGTATCATTTTGATCGATTTCATGCAAGACTTCTCGAAACACGGCCAGATCTTATTGTGCACTCGCGATTGTTCTTTACTCAACCTATATGCACACCAACTTGTGTCGTGCGGGATTTTTCAAACCTCGGGCTTCCCTCCAGCTACCGATTTTATAATGGCTTCAGCCTACAACTCACAATCCTTTAATATTCAAACAGAATGGAGACTTTGTATACTTTTATATTTGGCCTCAAGTAGAAGAATCCGATCTTCCTGAAGTACAGCATTGACGTTTTTATGTTGAGCTAAAGTCTTCACTAAGTCGGGGGAAAAATTTTCCCGAAGACTTTAAAATCGGAGCTGAAGCGAAACTTTGGATAGAAACCTGCTGTTGACAGATTGTACTTAATGTTACACTCATTTGAAAACTACTGGGGGTGTTGACCTTGCTGTGGTCGTTAGAGGCCGCTTTATCACTTCTTTTTCTAATTTGGCCAGGTTGTCCCAGCCGTGAACTACCCAAAGGGAAAGCCAAATTGCCATGGGTTAAACTTTAACCCAAATTTGGGTTATACTTTGTGTGAAAGCAATGACGAGTACCCAAACATCTGCAACATTTTTCCGGTTGAAATTTTGAGTTAAAACTGACTTAGTTAAAATTCCAAGTAAATTATTTGGGTTATATTTTTGGGTTAAGGTGATCGTGAATAACCAAAGAAAAGCGGCACCGCGTGGCGAGATTCAGAAGGACGTGTTTTTGTCAAATCAGCAGTCGGCAAGCCAAAATTACTGGGACGAAAAAGTGGCCGGATAAGGAAGGTGAGAGCTTTAATTTTCTTCCCGTTTATAGTGTAATTGAGATGTTTGACACCTGATTGTGATGATGAATGATTATTAGATGTAAATCCCCGTTCCTGCGAATTTTTTGAGTGTCGGAAATACATGAACTTTCCTTGTATACCGTTTAGGACTTTTAGGAGCTAACCAGGGCTTATCATCCAAGGGATTACTAAAAGGCTTACCCTGTACTAATACCCAGGCCAGGGTTTTCCAAGCCACCGTGGCCTTGGCTAGAGTTTTCCAAGGAAGCTCATCAAGAGACAATAAAGACATCATTTTCAGGAAACAGGCATATTTTTATTTCTCCGAGCCGGCGTCTTTATTTACCTGCAGTAGGCAACCAAGCCCATGCTCTATCTCTCCAACAGTCACTGGATGGAACCCCCAGTCCTGGCTGGCCTTTGACCTTTGCCATTCCTCAACATCAGTGTTTGAGTTAAATTTACCTCAACTTAAATACAACCCAAGCGTATAGCCCAAGCTTATGGTTAAATTGACCCAAAATTATAAGTATATGTCACAGGTTATTCTCAAGCTTTGTCTACGAATACGTCAGGGCGGTTACGCAACAACTCGGTAACTCGCCTTACATCGTCTGCGGGGAGGGGAGAACCATCGAAGTCAAAATCAACGTCGTCATTACTGGCGTTGGACGGAGACATGGGGGATGCCTGTGCATCGAGTGGCAGCTCTTCCTCAAATACTGAACGCCCTGGCGAGACGGCATCGGGCGGGAATCACTACACTCTGGCAGGACTTGTTGGTGAGGATGACTCTCGTCTTGGCCATCCTGTGGGCGGGCAACTCAACCATGCAGGTTTTCAGCTCAACGCCATCTGGGAGCTGAGATGAGTTCTCTGTCTCGATCAGTACTCCAAGCTTGGATCGAGAATGATTATTAACTCGCGTGGTGACTTCAACCTGTTCACCTGGTCTTAGTGATGTGGTCTTTAAGGACTTGACTGGCCCAAGACTGCCGGCAAATTTCAAACTGGGGGAGAGTTGGTAAACCTGTGCCCATGCGCTATCAACTGGATGTTTTCGGAGGAAATCTTTGCCACCTTTCTGCGGACAAACTCGAACCATATCTCGTACTACACTAGTGTTAGTCCCGACAAGCAGGGGTACATCATCGGCTCCTTGGCCATTCGGACAAACAAGGGCGAGGGTCGTCACTTCTTTTTGCAACCCGGCGGAATTAGCGGGAAACTTAAAGTTTAACTCGATATATCCCTTATATGGGACAGGCTGACCAGCGGCGCCTATCACCGCGAGGTGTGATAGGGGCTGTATACAGCTGGCGATGCGGAAGATAGCGAGCGTGGTACGAAGTAGTTACGCACGTGACTTGCGATCCGTTGTCAAGGAGGCATTGGGAGGGTTGTCCATCGATGAAAACAGGGGTAACGGCCTGTTTACCAACAACACCTCTAGGAACATCTGAAGGAGAAACTCCCTGACACCGCGTCGACACAGTCGGGTGACGCACTGGGCCCTTGGATGAGTTCGGGACGGCTGTTCGGGCAACTACAGCTGTCCGCTGTCGTTTCCCCGAACTCTGCTCACTCTTATAGGTCGAGACAGACGCGACATCATCTTCTCTTGTACCAGGGCTGGGATCTTCGGCTTGCTGCAGGAATCCATTCGGTGGTTGTCTTCACCGCACTGGTAGCGAAAGAATGGATCGGAAGTTTCTACCTGGGGCTGTGGCCAAAGGAGACGGACGACGGGGAGTGTTGGGTTGGTTCTTAAAAAACCCGTCTGCAGCAGAGGGTCTGATTCTTTACTTGACTTAACAGTTGTTTGGAGTTATTAGAGTTTAAATTATCGAGATTTCATTGTATACAATAATTATTACGAAACAGTCAACTCCACCCATCTAGCGGGTGCCGCGCGAAGCGCGGCATCCCGCTAGTTCCAATTAACATCATTTCGTTGAAAACGCGTTTTGTAGCCCAATTGGGCGCTTTGACGTAATGTATAAAGGAGCCTTAATATCAGAGCCTGCAAGGTTATTTTAGAAAAGTAGGATCGGGAATGTTTCTCCAGTATACTCCAATCAAATCTCAAAGTCAAAATCCAAGCCGGTCCCTTCCATCCTCAGGGCGTAGATCTTGTCGAAGAGGGCGCTCTGTGCCACTGTGAAGTGGTTCTTCCAGTCGCCGACTTTTCCTGTAATGGAAATGAAACGAGAACACTTACCTTGCCTTTAATTCTGATTGATAGATTAATTTCATGACATATAATATCATTTTTGGTTTGTTTGTTTCTTTGTTTCTGTCATTTTTGGGGTTTAATTTACGAATGTAAATGCTCTACAAGAGTGCTGAATGGTAAAACAAAATGTGTCCTCAGTTCTTAGCAAGAGAGAGAGAGCTAGAAGTCACTCAGAAGCCATGATTACCACTTTCCGTGCATTGTGATCGACACGATTTGTAAACAGTGTCTCACCTTTTCTTAAAAAGGTATTGCCTTTGTGACTTGTCATTCGTTTCCCCTCCTCCCCTCGCTCTTCCTCAAGATGCTGATAAGTCTTCAGCATCCCACCAAAGGTCACGCGCTCCACAATGCCATCGATGACGTCATGGGGTAGATCCTTCCCGAGATGCTTAGCTACTTTGCAGATAGATCCCCTGAGGTCCTGAGGGTGCATGTAGACCGCCAAAAAAAAAAAGAGTCATAAGATCAGTGGCGTAGCTAGGGTTAAACTTCTGAGGGGCACCTAAGGGTGCACAGATTTATCAAAAGGGGCGGGGGGCAATGAAGACAATGATGTATATATTTTATTCAATATAAGATTTTAAATGGGGTGGGGGAACCCGGGGGGTACGGACATCCGCTGGGGCTGGGGGGGGGGGGGCACGTACCTCCTGTACTGTGCCGCCCCCGGTAGTACGCCACTCTACAGTCCGAAGTTCCATTGGTCCGACGTCCCATTGGTCCGACGGCCCATTGCTCTATACGTTCCATTGGTATAAACGTCCTATTGGTCCGACATCCATAGGGTTAGGGTTAGGGTCAGTCAACCTGAACCATTGGAACTACACAGTATTATGTTTTGTGGGACCAATGGGACTTCGGACCAATAAGACTTCAGACCAATGGGACGTCGGACCAATGGGACGTCGGACCAATGGGAGTTCGGACCAATGGAACGTCGGACCAATGGGACTTCGGACCAATGGGGTTTCGGACTATCGAGACGTTACCTATAAGACACCAGTGATAGGCTACACTTAAAAAGGGAAAAACAGGGGACGAACTTAAACCTCCCCAACGTGTTCAATACACATAAATTAAAGCTTCAATAAAAGAGGACCATCTCTAAAAGTAGTCTGGAAGCCTAGGCCTATGGTTATTTCTGAAAATGATCCTGGCCACAACTTTACTACCGTGGGACGACTTTTGTGTTAATGTTATTCCAAAGTACTCAGAAATGTAAGCTCAAAGAATGGTTCAGAGTTCGACCCCATCAATGTTTCAAACCCGCATGAGCAAGACTCACAAAATTCGCAAGAGAAATGAGAAATAAGGGATAGGAATCGTGATTGGCTTGAGCAATCTTGGCCTACTGACTGGCCGGCAATCCTGAATGCACAACAATGAATACGATAGATGACAGTCAGCCTTGAAGGTGTCAATACAGAGGTTTGTTTGATACAAGAACACTACGACAATGACAATGACACCCAGCCTAAAATGACTGGTGACAGTGACCAAGGCTCGGCATTTTATGATCTGCCCTCTGAACAGCGTACCATTGCAATGTATGACATGGATCGAGTTAATGCATTGATCAAGCGAATTAACTGTTTAAAGGGAAGATACAACATTTGCAAACATCACAAAACGAAATGATCAAATTATCACAAAATACCTTACTGGATTGTTAGGGAATGACAGTCTAAAACATCCTGTAAAATCGTGGCTCCTGGTTTGCTGACATTTTCAAGAGAAACGATATTTTTCCAACGCTGGTCGGCCGACCAGCGTTGGAGAAAACTGGCTTTATTCAAAAACTGCTCCTAATTTTTCATAATAAGTCATTCTGTGTTTTCTTTGCAATTGATTACACACCTGTGAAGGGGTACAAGCCTGCTAGATTGATTATCTAACCTTACAATTCCCCAAGGTCTATAAATTCTCCGTTTCATATTAAGTGGGGTCAGGGAACCAGACTACAAGAGCATGCATTGGTTTTTTTGGTTTTCCCTAGCGCTACAAGCCCAAAACGTGAAACAAGTCATTTAAACAATATTTGCTATAACATACTAATCCTCCAAATCCATTTATTTCTAAAAATTGCAGCAAAAGCAAATGTTGTACATTCCCTTTAAGTGAAACTTCTTACGAACCTTGTGGAGATCTTCGTACTTCAGAAACAGGACGTTCTCATTGTTCCGCTGCCTCCAATAGCTGAGAACATGATCAAACCAAGATCCGAAAACCGCTGGGGAAAAAATCAACGACAGGATAGTAAATTAGAAAGCACTCAGAGAGCGCAAACCTCCGCAAAGGCTAACTAATTCCATGCCACGTTGTGCCAATGTGGGACCCTTCGGTGGGGCGTGAGAAATACCCGCATGGGAAACAACCAAGGCACGATGACCGCGAGTATGGGAGGGCGCCAGTATGGGAGGGCGCCATCTATTGACAGGCTTGTCAGCACACCCAAAAGAAAATACTCTCATAAATAGTGCAGAATCCTTAAAGAAAATCCTGGATCCAGACCCAGATCCGGATCACTTCCAAAATCTAATTGATTTGTACTTGTAGCATGGAACACCCCCAAAACATTTTTCATGCAAATCCGTAAATAATTTTTTGAGTTGTATTTTTAACAGACAAACCAACCAACCAACCAACCAATGCCGATGAAAACATAACCTCCTTGGCGGAGGTAATGAACTTATAATGATATAGTAGGCCTATACCACTCGTATATTATTTGAGTAATATCGGTCAATTGATAGGGAAACTGAAACAAGATTTTCTCGAGGGAAAAAAAGGGGGAAAGCCTTTACTTGGAGACATTTTGGCAAAAACCCAAGTCCTGATTCCTAAACAAGGCAAAGATCTGAATAGCGGGTGAACAAAAAATACTTGCATGTGTCAGAGAAACAAAAATCTGATTAGCCAGACTGAAGTATCTATACCTGTAAAAAAAAAATTCGAATTCGGGCGTTTGCCACGCAGAGTTTATTTTTCCCAGTGCATTGCGGGAGATGGTCGACAAATTCGCAGCGTGGGACATTTGAAATTGTTCGTTTCTCCGGTCAGCAGTTTCGTTAGCGTATGATTCGAGTATTTGTTTGCCCTTATCTTTGCTTTTTATCAATATGGTGTTTTGTGTAAGACGGCAGAACGCTGTGCCCCAATCTATAACAAACTAGCTCAAATTGTCTGCTGACGCTCATTCAAATGGGCCATGTTTTGTCGACCGTAAATTTGAAAAGTAAACTCTCCGTGGCAAACTCTTGGTGGCGCACTGCATTGTGAATCGCCCGAATTGACTCTAGAGGAATACCGTTTTTGTTGTTAGAATACTAACGTTTGACACTTACTTTTGCCCAGACTGAATGCCCAGAAGAATTCAGCGAAATCCCAAAACGGCGCCCACTTGGACAAAGAAACGAGTGTGTCTTTTGGGTTCCGGGCCACGTACACCACCTCAAAAAGGGGGAGAAAATAAACAAAGGATGTATGTCGTTTCTGAATTATTTACATGTATATTCAGAATTATTATCTACACATGTTACCTTAGGTTGCTTAGTCAAGATTTGAGGAGGTCGATAACTCTCCAAGCAGTGGCTTAAGATGCACCGTTGCGATGCCATAGCTGCGTACGTCTTGTACCCGGGGGTCACACTCTCAACTTTCGTCGGGTCTTCTGCCAGCGAGAACTCTAAACCATTTGTCATGAAAGTACGGTCGAAATCGTCTTTCCCATCGTGGAGAATAAAACCGACTATTTCTAACATCCAGTGGGTGCCTGTAATTGAACAAAACACGCGAAAAGAAGGATTTCCAAAATAATCTGGACAAGCGATGGGAGGCGGCTGACTTTTTAAACAATTCAATGCGTATGTCGGCATTCAGGAACAGCCATTTTGCAAACGCCGTTGACTATATAAGGGGCTCATCGATAAAGACAAAAAATCAGGCTGGGTGGACAGGGATGGGCGTTGCGAGGGGGGGGGGGGCAAGGGGGCCCCCTGGACAAAAAAAGGAGGTGGAAAAAAGGAAAAAAGGGGCGAAGTCATAGTGGTGTAAATTTAATGAGTTGGAGGGGGGGGGGCAACAAGTCCCTGCCCCCCTCTAAAACTGAGAAATCGAGAGTATGTTGAGAAATACAGGAATTTTTTGGGAAAAATATGTTTTGCCCCCTCTAGAAAAAATCCTGGCGACGCCCATGTGGGGAGGGGGTCAACCCCAAGCCCCTTTCTAGGCATTTTTTCGCCATATATAAATAAAAAGTCAAAAACTCGCAATATCTTACGACATTTTCGTCTTTGATGTCTCATCAGGATATTTTGAACAATGACTATATTTATACTAGTTTCATTTCAACAGGATAGCCTTTTCATCTATTTAAACTGCTACTCTTAAGCAGTGGCGCACCCAATTCTTTTTAAGTCCCACGATTTGACCTTGGTGACATGTATTTTTCGAGCAGTAAAATAGGGGTGTAGGTGAGGCCACCAGCGTCCCCCCCCCCCCCACTTATTTTTATTGGGTTAAGGGTCATTAAGAGCAGTGGCGCACCCAGGATTTGGCTTGGGGGGTGGGGGCTCACAATTGTTTTTTTCAAGGCAACAGAAAAAATTGGGGTTTTTTGATGGGGGGGGGGGGACTATTTTGACGTTGGTGGCGTCACCTACACCACTATTTTGCTGCTCGACAATGTGTCACTCTGTTGTTCCAAACAGTCAGAATACATAAATTCCTTTGTTTTGACGAAACAGGTTTTAGGGTCATTGCGTTTAAATGGTGATATTCTTTGAACGGCTTGAGCAATTTCAGTATTTTTTTCATTTAAAAGAAATTTATGAAATTTGTTTGACTCGCCCTGTAATCCTGTATATCAGGAAACTTCGATTTCTCCGCAAGTCAATTCACCATTTCAAACTGAAAGTATCGATGAAATAAGGCCGTGGTAAGTCAATCTATACCATTTTTTCGAGTACGAGTACTTTCAAAATTGATGATCGATTACAATTTCGACATGTCGAGTACGGGTACTTTGCTTCCTGAGTACGAGTACCGTCATTTCGAGTACGAGTAATTTGACATTGGAGTACGAGTACGAGTAGGCCTACTCTAAAAAAAAAAAAGAAGAAAGTAATACAACTAGTACTCGAGTACTACAACACTACATCCAACACAAGGAACTTTAAAATGCTCAATCGTGTGCTGAAATCAAAGGGCAGAAACACTCTGTACTAATATGTATTGTTCACTTGTTGAATACAGGATTATCAAGTGCATGTAGTAGAATTGTGCCATTTCCATAGGGTCACTGTTCACATTAGGGTCGTATTATGGGTCGTGCCCCATTTTTCATGGTCTATGGCACATTTGTACAAACACAATGGTGAAGAATCCTTAAAATAAGTCCTGCCTCCGGATCAAGTCCAACATGTCCTGTGTTTTATTTCTCCATGGTATAATGCCCGATAAGGTCAGCATATAAGCTCCTTACCTGATCTTGGATAGGAAAAGACGAATACGTCGTCATCGCGCACTTCAAAGGTCTTCATGGCTTCCAGATTGGACCGCGTTACATGGAACGGGAATTTGATCCCATTCACGACATGGCGGCCCGTCCGCTGGTCACTTTCCGCCAGCTCCTCCTCCAGCTGTTGGTGCCTTTTCCCGTTGATCAAGTCCGGCATCAACGCCTGAATTTGTTCGGCAACACTCATGATAACAACTAGCCTAAGTAACAGAGTTCACAAACGATCAAGTGGTTTGCTTATAAACGCGGGTTCCTCTGAAAACCGTCCCTGCGTTTATAGGCCTAGCGCGTGTTCGTGCGTTGATGGTTTAAGGCTGAGATTTTGTACACGATTGCAAGGAACTTGCTCTCCGCTATTGTGTAGCTATAATATTTAACCCGAGTGTGAACTTTCATGCTGGGCATGGAGGTTAAGCCGATCCTTTCTCTATGAACCGATGAACGAGCCATGTGAGGGACCGTCTGTAAAGTTTATCCTGTCCCTCCTGGTAAATATGTCCCCCGGACAAATTTACCGGCTCGTGACCCGGCCGGTAAATCTGTTCAGGGGGGACACATTTACCTTGGTAGATCTGTCCCCCTCCAGGTAAATTAGTCCCCCTGCCCAACGTTGAATGTGTCCCCCTGGTAAATGTACAAACTCAGTACAGTCCACTCTAGTGCGTGGCTTAGAATAGGGCTATTAGTGGTGCATGACCTTGCTGCCTTAAAAAAAGAGACATTTGCAGTCAGAGGCCGTGTCACGCACACAGCCCTGTTTGACCTCAGTTTCTTGTCCCGCGGGTCACGCACGCATGGCCCAAAAGCGTACGCGAGGTTTTACGAGATGTATTCGAGACTACTGAAAAACACAAAAAAGTACCTGGATACGTGCACTGTTTTGCCAAGATGGCCAAATAATTGAAAAGTTGAAATTGTGTGCTTTATTTTGATACCAAAAATAACTGCTTTGGACAAATATAAAGTGTTATTACGGCCTGTCAAAAAAGCATATTTTATATCAACAAAAGCGAGGGCCGATAGTTTTTAGGTGTACATTCGAATCTTAAAAACGGCCAAAAGAAATGGCAAGGCTCAGTAGATAGAGAAAAGTATACGCTTCTTTTTCATGTGAAACACGTGCAGGAGACTAATGTTTGGTCCAAAATCGACGGTTAAAAAATGAAGACTTTTTGCGAGATTTCATGATTCGCAATCACATGTAAACAAACGTAAGTAGGCCAACGGCCTGAAGAGCACGTGCGAACGTGCAATGATTGACTTATGAATATTAAGCAGGACATCTCAAGCTCGACCAATCAGTGGTTGGGCGGCGCATATGGGGTCACAAGTTCATACCATGTTTGCGTTCCTTGCTCTATGCTTTTACGATGTATGCAATGGTGACAATCTTTTTTCGCGTTGTGAAAAATGGAAGTTGTTGGAAACATTTAATTAGGTGTACATGGAATTCTTAAAATATTAACGACATCACGTTCACGAGATTTTTTTGTAGATGAAGGTTTACTCTTTCCTTAGATTACCTCAACATTTGGAAGACTTTCGTCGTTCTCGAAAAAAACCCGGAAATTTCATGACCTAATTTTTAGTCGATTTGCCCGTGAAATAATATCGTCAAAATTCATCAAAATAATTTTTTTTTGGAGAAAAAATGTGTATACCTTGCAGATCAAAACAATATGACAGAATAACCTGGAGGGGGGACAGAATCAACGGGACGGAATCATCCCCCACGGTGGTGAGAAACCAACAAGTGCGGATTTCGAGGTATTTTTCGAACTTCCCAACAACCAAAATGTACTGAAAAATGGAGGGAAACGTACATAAGCTAAAAATGCGCCGTTTTGATGTAAGTGCGAGTGTACATGGGCCTAAAGCCGTACATCTGTATCATGAGCAGCGCCCCCTAGCTCCATACTGCACTCCTTGAGTATGCGGTTCGGTATGTTGTCTGGCCCTGATGCTTACGATGGATTGATATCATGAAGAAGTTTCAAGATGCCTGTGTTGATCTCTAGTGGATCAATATCAATATAGGCTTGTTGCAGGTTTGGGATACTCGTATAGAGGTTTCCTGTGAGAGACTTAAAGAAGGAGTATAAGATATTTGCTTTGGCCTTGTGATCAGACACTGTACGACTTCCGTCTTTAAGATGGTAAACACCAATGTTGTCTGTTCGCTTAGATTTCACGTATTTCCAGAATACCTTCGGGTAATGTTGTAGTACATCATCAAGCAAACTACATATATATGTACACACTGCTAACGTGCTTTGTTGTGATTTTTCTTGTAGATTTACGAGCCTTTTTCGAAGAGATGGATGTCACTCGTACTGTGTTCTACGTCGTCGGTTGTGCAATCCATGGACCTTTTTGTTTTCGGAACGAAGTGCAGGAGAAAACCAGGGCAGGTTGAATCTTGATGAGGCAAGTCTAGATGGAATATATTTGTCAGTTAGTGATGAGTTGACCGCAGTTTTCAGCGAGGTCCAATTTTCATCCACCGAGTGATGGTGCAAATCCTGGAGGAATTTTTCACCAAAGATTTTCAGTTCAGTGTGGAGATTAGCAAAGTAAATGTGAATTTTACGACGCCCCGGGCTTCGGTGTATTGCAGTCAGTATTTAGATGAACTTTACCAATGTTGTGGTTCCCTACAGGTGAGATGGATTTTGGGCCTATTTACTGGTCTGCAACCTGTAGGTACCAGACCTGTAAATAGACTCCAGTGATAAATACCCCCACTTCCAAAGATATTTTGGGCCCAATTTCATCCAAATTTCACAGAAATATAAGCTTGCAGTCCTGTTCACGGCTTCCACCCTTCTTTTCTTTTTTTACAAACCCTCAAGTTCATGGCCAACAAAATGCTCGTATGAAGTTCCTTTTGGTGGCAAAACCCATAATAATGTCAAATGAATGGCTGCCGGATATTTCAAAATGGCCGCCATTGTTTCCCTTAATAGCTTGAGCTATGGAAAGCCCATGAAGTTCATTTTGGTGGCAAACCCCATATTTTGGATACAAGAAATCTAGATGTTAAACTAATGACGTACTACCAATGCATGCATGACGGTCATCTTGGATATTTCAAAACTGCCGCCATTTTAGATCTGTTCTACCAGTAACCGGGGCTGAAAAAAAGTCGTATGCAGTTCATTTCGGTTACAAACCTAATATTTTGACACACGAAATGTGAATAACACACATAATAATTTTCAGTCTCATAACCCGATCGAGTTTCCCAAGAGGTATCTTTAAGACGTACCAATCTCGGTGATTGTTTAAAAAGGCTGGCATATCTTGTTTATTGATTCTGTAGTAATACTATGGTATACTGTATTTTTCATGGCACTTTGACCCTACCGTGGTATGGGATGGTATGAGTACCATGGTGCCACCATGGTACTTTTCAAAAGTGGTACAAATGCTATGCTTATACATAATACAACATTCCATGAATATACATAGTGTGCCGGTTTAATTGTGGTAGCACAAAATTGAAACGACGGTACACAATTACCATATAGTTAGAATGATACTTCCATTATTGCCCTGTGTTGTGTACATGTTCATGAAGGCCTACAAATGTACGTTTCAGGAATAAAACCACACGGGTACCATTGAACTGAGACCCAGTGGGATCCCGATCCAGATTTGGTCACACTTTAGTTACGCCACTGTAGACAATATGTGTGATATATATTCTAATTTCAATATTTATCGACTGGAAGTTCTAGGCCCATGTTAGCGTGTATATACAACTGAACTGTATTATAATTATAGGCCTCTTTTGGCAAGATCTATCCCGCATCCGAAATTATAATCATAGGCTTACCCTTACAGAAATGTCCCATGAGCATCCCATGGGACCCCATGGGAAACCCATGGGGTTATCAAGAACACCATGTAAGTTAAAATGATCACCATGGGAGATTTTATGATCATCATAGGAAACCCATGGGAACACCATGGAGATTGCATGGACAACATGGGAACACCATGGGGATTTTACGAGCTCCATGGGAACACCATGGGAACACCATGGGGATTTTATGAGCTCCATGGGAACACCATTGGGATTTTACGGACACCATGGGAACACCATGGGGATTTTATGGACACCATGGGAACACCATGTAGAACTATAATGAACACCATGGGAACACCATGGGAATTTATGGACACCATGGGAACCCCATGGCGATTTAATGGACACCATGGGAACACCATGGGGATTTTATGGACACCATGGGAACACCATTGGGATTGTATGTCACCATGGGAACACCATGGGGATTTACTGGACACCATGGGAACATCATGGGGATTTTAGACACATGGGTACACCATGAGGATTCGGACACCATGAGAATACCATAATGTGGGTGATATAAATTATGGACACAATGGGAACACCATGGAGATTTAAAAGGCAGCACGGGGACACTGCCGAGTTATACTGGAGAACATGCATGTGCCATGGGAAACCATCATAGACCCAATTACACTCCCAAGTTATAGGCAAACCTTTCTTTGATTTAATTACTTATTCGCCTAGCTGTAAATTTGAATTCAATTAAAAATATTTCCCTTGTGGTCATAGAGGTTATCAAGAATCATATTTACAACTGAACTGTATTATAATTATAGGCCTCTTTTGGCAAGATCTATCCCGCATCCGAAATTATAATCATAGGCCTATAGGTCCTATCTGCATGGTAGAGCTCTACAGAATGGAATACAGAGAGGCAATTATATGCAGTAGTATAGTGCAGCTAGAGCAGCACGTCTCACATCGGGGCTCTCAAAGCTCAAAGTCAAACTCCAAGCCGGTCCCTTCCATCTTCAATGCATAGATCTTGTCGAACAGGGCGCTCTGTGCCACAGTGAAAGTGTTCTTCCAGTTGCCGACTTGTCCTGCATGTTACGGAAAATAAAAATGAAAAATGAAAAGTATTGTTAAATCAATGACAACACACTCCTGGTGATATACTCCGTACAATATTTCATTGCATTGGCTAATACAGATTTCTTCTTGTCATCCGGTAACGTATCCCATTCTTGCAGAATCATTAAAAAGTCTTCGAAAAGCCGAAGATCTAGTGGCAGAATATTATAATACCAATGATGGGTCGGGAATGTCCACTGAATTTTTCACTTTAGTGTACATGAAGGGGTGCAAAAAATAAGGCAGCACGGCAAGTTTTGTTCTGAATTGAGATGTATGAAAGATGGGGAGACACGTAAAGGAATGGAGAACCATTAAAAAAAAAAAAAAAAAATCTAAATATCAATGGAATATCACAACCCCATCACACCTTGTCTAAGATACGGAACCACTCCTAGGTAACGCGTCATGCGTTTCCCCTCCTCCCCGCGTTCTTCCTCAATCTGTTGATAAGTCTTCTGCATCCCACCAAATGTCACGCGTTCCACGATGTCATCGATGACGTCATCGGGTAGATCCTTCCCAACATGCTGAGCTAGTTTGCAAATGGAGCCCCTGAGGTCCTGAATATTAGGAGTAAAACGACGAAGCAAAGTGGCATTTCGTGAAGCGTTTGCCTCATTATAATCCCCTGTGTATAGTATACAAATATTGACTGCTTCGAGTGGTGTAGTAAAACTAGCCTCCCGAGGTGATCCATGAAGCATTCTATTCCCGAGGCGAAGCCGAGGGAAAATAGAATGCTCCATAGATCACCGAGAAAGGATAGTTTTACTACACCACGAGATAAAGCAGTCAATATTTGTTTTATAACACCTGTCCCACAGATTCTGCTTGATTTTAAGCGATAACTGATTAATTTAATCTGAATACAATAAAAAAGTACTACTATTTGAATACGAAATAAGTTCAAAATTAACTTGCACTTTTTTCTAACTATCCCTTCACGAAATGTTTGAACCCAGCTCTGTAGCGCTCGCGCATACAATACGCGCAACGCGCAAAACACACACCCCTATGCATTTTGCACACAGTGCGTATAGTACTTTGGTTGCTACGGGTATAGTACTTTGGTTGCTATGGGTATAGTACTTTTGGCCGTGCACAGCAATATGTGTTATAGTTCTGTTTATTTCACGATTTTCATGTCAATTCGCTCTTTTCACACTTCCGCCATGGGCATGCAGAGCCTCGATCTTACAACTTTACACAATAGATATAGCCGGTTCAGTGATTCCCGTGTCGGGGTTCAGATCACAGAACCGGCTATTTTTATTGTGTAAATTTGCCAGATCGAGGCTGTGCATGCCCAATAGCGGAGTGTGAAAAGAGCGAATTCCTTTCAGCTCCACCGTATAACGGATAGTGTGGTGATGAATTTAGTATTCGTGAAATGAACTCCGTATTATCGTGCGCGCATTACTAATGGCCAATAATAACATAATAGTGACTATTGCATTCATAGGCCTAATAATCATTATGTCAACAGTGGTGACATTGAAAGTTACATCTTAACACTTGTTACGCATCAAGTCCTCCACCATTGTTATTATACCTGTGTACATTCATAGAGAAAGGACACAATTCTTTTGCAATGACACAGAGCGAAAGGATGATGCCAGCTGGGTCAAGAGGCGCACCAAAATAGTCGCGGATGGGCCCACACCCGTTGGCCGACCGCGCAAGACGTGGCAGAGCGCTGCGACGGATGACAAGCGACTGATTGGAGTCATAGACGAGGGACGCGACGGACAGGGCCAAGTGGAGGAGAGCCATAGGGAGAAAGCAGGCCAACCCAGAACAGACTGAACAACGGCCTTAAAACCGACGATGGTGATGATGATGACAGAGCAGCAGAACACGAGAAGTGATTATGAAATTTGATTGATATGACAGCATTGTAATAATGTGCTAATGACAAGCAGCCGACGACGATGCACCAAGTATACGGTCTTCTGATTCTTTACATCAATGCAGACGTATACATGTCCGTGTTTAATCAAATGAAGTCTCTCTTATACGTACCTTGTGGAGATCTTCGTACTTTACAAACAGAAAATTCTCCTTGTCCCGCTGGTTCCAATAGCTGAGCACGTGCTCAAACCAACATCCCATTACCACTGGAGGTACATGTATAGGGACAAACAAACAAACGACAGAAGTCAACAATGAACAGTGAAAGTGAACAGGACAAATACAGTGATCTACATATTGATTAAATTATCAGCCGAAGATTTTCTTTAAAACCGTTGATTTGAAAGAAAACTTACTTTTCCCGTGGCAAAATGCCCAGAACACCTCATCAAAATTCCAATGCGATGCCATGTTGAACAACGAAACGAGCATATCCTTTGGGTTTCGGGCCACGTACACCACCTTAAAAAACAAAAATCCGCCCCGAAGCAAGTGTTCACAAATTTACATGTATACCGCATATATTTACACATACACATTACACATTACGGACCGACAGTCAGTGACCATCAGAAATGCTAAGCGTTAGTATAGGATATATAAGGGATGTATACGCCAATGTGGCAGACAAAAACTTTGATGTGAAATGCACATCGCACATTGTGGACCAAAAGAAGCAATCTTGTTTGCTTTTGTAAGTTTTCATAATGTTAAGGGATGAGCTAAGACTTGTCGAAAAACAAATTTTAAATGTCAGAATCGTGCGGGCGCCATGCTCTCCCCATTCAATGCATTAAGGTCAGCTGACGGCTATTGACCAATAAACAGCCTCCATTTTGTTTGTCACGTAGAGGGTGTCATCGGTCGTCAGGCATAAAATTTGAATATTTAAACAATGGGCTATAAAAAAAATGGATAAATCTCATGCACGGGGCGGGGAGCTGAGAGTTTTGTTTGCCTTTTTATTTTTAATCTCCTTTTCTTAATTATTTTTATGACTTAACTGACCAGTGAATATCATACTTTACCTTTGCTTGCTTAGTTAAGATCTGAGGAGGTCGAAAACTCTCCAAGCAGTGGCTTAAGATGCACCGTGGCGATGCCATGGCTGCGTATGTCTTGTACCCGGGGGTCGCGGCACTCTCAATTTGAGTTGGGTCATCTGCCTTCGTGATCTCCAACGCGTTGGTCATGAAAGAACGGTTGAAATCCCCCTTCCCATCGTGAAGGATATAATGCATTATTTCACCCATCCAGTGTGTGCCTGTTATTGAATAAAACAAGCTTTAATAACAGAGATTGGTAGCTCACCAATTAACAACAAGAACAACAATAATAACAGCAAGAACAACAAGAACAACAAGAACAACAAGAGCAAAAAGAACAACCAGAGCAGTAGCAGCAGCAGCAGCAGCAGCAGCAAACAATTCCTGTGTACAATTCCGAATAGGACTTGGTAATTTTAATTAAAAAAAAAAAAACCAAAAAAGGGACCAAATTTGTGTACCCAACTATATGACCCCGAACTTGACCCCGATGCTTACAAACCTTATGTAACAGCAGTCTTGCTTAGGGGCAATGTCTTTGTTTTGGAAGGAAATGCATGGTGTGATTTAACCTTTGGTGATTTAAATGACAAAAGATGCTCCCTAAGATGGCCGCTGCGCATGAAGTCACCTTCGCTCTAATAAGACATATGTAAGAGTTACATCAGCCTAACTTATGTTTTTATTTAAATGAAGTCACGGCACATCCCAATGGCAAGTACACCGAGGGTTAGTGGACAATGAAACCAGTCAGCCGGTGTTTTATCAACCGTTCAATTTTGGGAATAGGGTTGCACTTCTACAACATTTCTTCTACTGCCAAGCAATTTGAACTTGCTTGTCAAATACCTAAATAGACTCCAGAGCAATGTTATTTTTAAGCTCTTACAGGAGCTTTTATAGGTGTCAATTGGTAGTCGGTAGGTCGGTCGGTCGGTCTTTCTGTCTATCTGTCCCCGAAACATTGACCGAAAATAATTGACTAATGGAACAATTGCCATGTCGTGGTCATAAAATGCACTCTTGAAGAAGGTTTTCGGAACAGCGGTTTTGTTTCGATCGATGCGCATGCGCGTTTATTTTGCATTATGTCTCTTCCCGAAAATTGACAAAAATAAGCCCCATAGGTTTCCCACAAAATATAACTACCAATTTAAAATTTTCAAAATAAATCGAAGACTTAAAGGGAATGTACATCATTGGCAACATTTTTGTTTTCTTGGTTTTTCCAACCTTTTCGAACACAAAACGTCAAAAAGGTCAGTGTAACAATATTTGATCTATTATACTAACCCCTCAAATAGTTCATTTCTGAAAATTACAGCAAAAGCCAATTACGTACATTCGCTATTTCTGATAGAGGAAAAAGAATGCCACGAAAACATCCTCATCGTTTGAACTGAAGCTGAATTCATGGTTGTGAACTTAGCTGCCTGTTTTCCGTAACTTCGGTGTACATTTAAACCATAACATTTCTGCATTGCAAATGGTATCTTTGGAGTGTGTCGGACTAGGGACAGGTGGCCATAGTGTAGGCTATCAAGCCTTACCTGATCTTGGGTAGGTGAAGACGTACACGTCGTCATCGCGCACTTCAAAAGTCCTCAGAGCTTCCAGATTGGACTGCGGAATGAAAACCGGGAATTTTCTCCCATTTACGACATGGCAGCCCATCTGCTTGTCGGTAGCAGCCAACTCCTCCTCCAGTTGTTGGAGTGTTTTCCCGTTGACCAAGTCCGGCATCAACGCCTGGATTTGTTCGGTAATGCTCATGGTGGATTAATGTTCAATGCGAGTAACACTGGTACGAGCGATTTGGCTGTGTTTAACTTTCAAGTCTGCGTGTTGAACAACAAGTCAACTGCAGCTCAAGGCCGGATGACTTGTAAAGATTTGACCCTGGACGTAAAAGGCCGCGGCTTGTCATGTGTGCCTTTATGAAGTGCAGTAGCCTACATTGTTCCCGTCACGTCATTTTGAAGGCTATTTATGCGATATGTTAAAGTGAGTCTGCAGTGAGAGCACCATGTGCGTCCAAGTAACACATGGCACGCTGAGAGACGGGATATGTTCGTGTTTATGCGGTACGTCTGGTGTTGTTATAGGACCGCGGCTCACACGAAAAGAATACTAGTAAGACATCAGACTAGAAAACTTTATGAATCTTCAGATGAAGAAATTACAATGCTCGCAAAGCTTATAAAAAGGGGGTTCCTCTGAAAACCGTCCCTGCGTTTATACTGTGCGAGTGTGCCTAGCGCGTGTTCGTGCATTGGTGGTTTAGGGCTGGGATTTTGTACACGATTGCATGGACCTTGCTCTCCGATATTGTGTAGCTATAATATTTAACCCGAGTGTGAACTCACGCTGTGTGAGGGACCGTCTGTAAAGTTTATTCTGTCCCTCCTGGTAAATGTGTCCCCCGGACAAATTAACCGGCTCGTGACCCCGCCGGTAAATCTGTTCAGGGGGACACATTTACCTTGGTAGATCTGTCCCCCTCCAGGTAAATTAGTCCCCCTGCCCAACGTTGAATGTGTTCCCCTGGTAAATGTACAAACTCAGTTGGACGGCTTAGAATAGGGCTACTAGTGATGCATGACCTTAATTGCTGCCTAAAAAAGAGACCAGTCAGTGGCCGTGTCACGCACACAGCCCTGTTTGACCCCAGTTTCTTGTCCAGAGGTCACGCACGCATGGCCCAAAAGCGTGCGCGAGATTTTACGAGATGTATTCGAGACTACAGAAAAACAAAAAAGTACCTGGATACGTGCACTGTTTGGCCAAGATGGCCAAATAATTGAAAGTTGAAATTGTGTGCTTTATTTTGATACCAAAAATAACTTCTTTGGACAAATATAAAGTGTTATTACGGCCTGTCAAACAAAATCATATTTTATATCAACAAAAGTGAGGGCCGATAGTTTCTAGGTGTACATTCGAATCTTAAAAACGGCCAAAAGAAATGGCAAGGCTCAGTAGATAGAGAAAAGTATACGCTTCTTTTTCATGTGAAACATGTGCAGGAGACTTCTAATGTTTGGTCCAAATCGCCGGTTAAAAAATGAAGACTTTTGCGAGATTTCATGATTCCCAATCACATGTAAACGAACGTAAGCTTGGCCAACGGCCTGAAGAGCACGTGCGAACGTGCAATGAACGACTTAATCAGTGGTTGGGCGGCGCGTACGGGGTCACAAGGTCATACCATGTTTGCGTTCTTTGCTCTATGCTTTTACGATGCACGCAATGGCGACAATCTTTTTTTCGCGTTGTGAAGAATGGAAGTTGTTGGAAACATTAGGCGTACATCGAATTCTTAACATATTAACGACATCGGGTTCACGGAAATTTCATGACCTAATTTAAATCAATTTGTCCGTGAAATAATATCGTCAAAATTCATCGAAATCATTGTTTTTGTTGAGAAAAACATGTGTATACCTTGCAGAGTGAATTCATCAAAAACAATATGACAGAATAACCTGGAGGGGGACAGAATTAACGGGACAGAATGATCCCCACGGTGGTGAGAAACTAACAAGCGAAATCCGCACTTAGTGCGGATTTCGAGGTATTTTTCGACCGTCCCAACAACCAAAATGTACCGAAAAATGGAGGGAAAAGTACAAAAGCTTAAAATGCGCCGTTTTGATGTAAGCGCGAGTATACTGTACATAGGCCTAAAGCTGTATCATGAACAGCGCCCCTAGCTCCATACAGCACTCCTTGAGTATGCGGTTCGGTATGATGTTGTCTGGCCCTGATGCTTTCGATGGATTGATGTCATGAAGACGTTTCAAGATGCCTGTGTTGATCTCTAGTGGATCAATATCAATATAGGCTTGTTGCAGGTTTGGGATACTCGTATAGAGGTTTCCTGTGAGAGACTTAAAGAAGGAGTATAAGATATTTGCTTTGGCCTTGTGATCAGACACTGTACGACTTCCGTCTTTAAGACGGTGAACACCAATGTTGTCTGTTCGCTTAGATTTCACGTATTTCCAGAATACCTTCGGGTTATGTTGTAGTTCATCATCAAGCATACTACATATATGTACACACTGCTAATGTGCTTTGTTGAGATTTTTCTTGTAGATTTTACGAGCCTTCTTGAAGAGATAGATGTCACTGGTACTATGTGTTCTACGTCGTCGGTTGTGCAATCCATGGACCTTTTTGTTTTCGGAACGAAGTGCAGGAGAAAACCAGGGCAGGTTGAATCTTGATGAGGCAAGTCTAGATGGAATATATTTGTCAGTTAGTGATGAGTTGACCGCAGTTTTCAGCCTTGTCCAATTTTCATCCACTGAGTGAGAATGCAAATCCTGGAGGAATTTTTCACTAAAGATTTTCAGTTCAGTGCGGAGATTAGCAAAGTAAATGTTAATTTTACGACGTACATCAGGCTTCGGTGTATTGCAGTCTGTATTCACATGAACTTTACCAATGTTGTGGTTCCGTAAGTGAGGGGAGATGGATTTTGGGCCTATTTACTGGTCTGCAACCTGTAGGTACCAGACCTGTAAATAGACTCCAGTGATAAATACCCCCACTTCCAAAGATATTTTGGGCCCAATTTCATCCAAATTTCACAGAAATAATTATAAGAATGCAGTCCTGTTCACGGCTTCCACCCTTCGTTTTTTGTTTTTACAAACCCTCAAGTTCATGGCCCACAAAATGCTCGTATGAAGTTCCTTTTGGTGGCAAAACCCATAATAATGTCAAATGAATGGCTGCCAAATTGGATATTTCAAAATGGCCGCCATTGTTTTCCTTAATAACTTGAGCTATGGAAAGCCCATGAAGTTCATTTTGGTGGCAAACCCCATATTTTTGATACAAAGAAATCTAGATGTTAAACTAACAATGACGTACTACCAATGCATGATGGTCATCTTGGATATTTCAAAACTGCCGCCATTTCAGATCTGATGATTTTCCCAGTAACCTGGGCTGAAAAAGTCGTATGCAGGTCATTTTGGTTACAAACCTAATATTTTGACACACAAAATGTGAATAACACACATAATAACTTTCAGTCTCATCACCCGATCGAGTTTCCCAAGAGGTATCTTTAAGACGTGCCAATCTCAGTGATTTTTAAAAAGGCTGGCATATCTTGTTTATTGATTCTGTAGTAATACTATGGTACTGTATTGTTCATGGTACTTTGACCCTACCATGGTATGGGATGGTATGAGTACCATGGTGCCACCATATGGTACTTTTCAAAAGTGGTACAACAATGCTTGTACATCATACAACATTCCATGAATATACATAGCGTGCCGGTTTAATTGTGGCAGTACAAAATTGAAACGACGGTATACAATTACCATATAGTTAGAATGATATTTCCATTATTACTCTGTGTGTACATGTACATGTAGGCCTACATGCAAAGATCATTTCAGGAATAAAATCACACGGGTACCATTGAACTGAGACCCAATGGGATCCCGATCCAGATTTTGGTCACACTTTAGTTACGCCACTGTAGACAATATTATGTGTGATATATTTTCTAATTTCAATATTTATCGACAGGAAGTTCTGGACCCATGTTAGCGCGAGTATACAACTGAAACTGTATTATAATAGGCCTCTTTTGACAAGATCTATCCCGCATCCGAAATTATAATCGTAGGCTTAGGTCCTATCTGGTAAAGCTCTACAGAATGGAATACAGAGAGGCAATTATATGCAGTAGTATAGGGCAGCTAGAGCAGCACGTCTCACATCGGGGCTCTCAAAGCTCAAAGTCAAAATCCAAGCCGGTCCCTTCCATCTTCAATGCGTAGATCTTGTCGAAGAGGGCGCTCTGTGCCACCGTGAAAGTGTTCTTCCAGTTGCCGACTTGGCCTGTTACGGAAAATGAAAATGAAAAATGAAAAGTATTGTTAAATCAATGACAACACACTCCTGGTGATATACTCCGTACAATATTTCATTGCATTGGCTAATAGAGATTTCTTCTTGTCATCCGGTAACGTTTCCGATTCTTGCAGAATCATTAAGAAATCTTCGAAAAGCCGAAGTTCTAGTGGCAGAGTATCATAATACCAATGCTAGGTCGGGAATGTGCACTGAATTTTTCACTTTAGTGTACATGAGGGGGTGCAAAAAATAAGGCAGCACACCTTGTCTAAGATACGGAACCACTCCTCGGTAACGCGTCATGCGTTTCCCCTTCTCCCCACGTTCTTCCTCAATCTGTTGATAAGTCTTCTGCATCCCACCAAAGGTCACGCGCTCCAGGATGTCATCGATGACGTCATCGGGTAGATCCTTCCCGACATGCTGAGCTAATTTGCAAATGGATCCTCTGAGGTCCTGAGCATTAGGAGTAAAACGACGAAGCAAAGTGGCATTTCGTGAAGCGTTTGCCTCATTATTATCCCCTGTGTATAGTATACAAATATTGACTGCTTCGAGTGGTGTAGTAAAACTAGCCTCCCGAGGTGATCCATGAAGCATTCTATTCCTGAGGCGAAGCCGAGGGAAAATAGAATGCTCCATGGATCACCGAGGGAGGACAGTTTTACTACACCACGAGATAAAGCAGTCAATATTTGTTTTGTAACACCTCTCCCACAGATTCTGCTTGATTTTAAGCGATAACTGATTAATTTAATCTGAATACAATAAAAAAGTACTACTATTTGAATACGAAATAAGTTCAAAATTAACTTGCACTTTTTTTTAACTATCCCTTCACGAAATGTTTGAACCCAACTCTGTAGCGCTCGCGCATACAATACGCGCAACGCGCAAAACACACACCCCTATGCATTTTGCACACAGTGCGTATAGTACTTTGGTTGTTACGGGTATAGTACTTTGGTTGCTATGGGTATAGTACTTTTGGCCGTGCACAGCAAGATGTGTTATAGTATACAAATATTGAGTGGCTCAGCGTGGAATGGGAGGAATATTATCGCAAGGTAAAATCTGGACTTTTCCATTTCACGAGGCGAAGCCGAGTGAAATGGAAAAGTCCAGATTTTACCGAGCGATAATATTCCTCCCATTTCACAATTTAAAGCCACTCAATATTTGTTTTATATAACTGACATATAAATCCTTGTCATTTGATATATTTAAACTTTTTTTTTTTCAATACAAAACTGGAGGAAAATGTATTTCTCTCTTCCAAACCTCCCCTTCACGAAAATGTTTGAACCCAACGCTATAGCGCTGGATTTTTGGAACAATACGCGCTACGCGCAACGCTGAACGCGCACGCCAGCATGCATTTGCACACAAATACCGCGTCATGATCCTTACTGTTGAATAGTATTTCCCATTCCCCATGGGCGGATAGTACTTTTTGAGCCGCGGCGTGAATGGGAGCAATAACGAACGTCATGTGATGTGAGTTCCACCAATTAAATGACTAGGATCTGTATGTCAGTTATATAATATACAAATATTGAGTGGCTCAGCGTGGAATGGGAGGAATATTATCGCGAGGTAAAATCTGGACTTTTCCATTTCACGAGGCGAAGCCGAGTGAACTGGAAAAGTCCAGATTTTACCGAGCGATAATATTCCTCCCATTTCACAATTTAAAGCCACTCAATATTTGTTTTATATAACTGACATATAGATCCTTGTCATTTGATATATTTGAACCTTTTTTTTTTCAATACAAACTGAAGGAAAATCTCTCTCTCTCTTCCAAACCACCCCATCACGAAAATGTTTGAACCTAACGCTGTAGCGCTGGCTCTTTGGAACAATACGCGCTACGCGCAACGCTGAACGCGCACACCAGCATGCATTTGCACACAAATACCGCGTCATGATCCTAACTGTTGAATAATATTTCCCATTCCCCATGGGCGAATAGTACTTTTTTGAGCCGTGGCATGAATGGGAGCAATAACGAATGCCACGTGATGTGAGTTCCACGAATCAAATGACTAGGATCTGTATGTCAGTTATATAAAGCCGGTTCAGTGATTCCCGTGTCGGGGTTCAGATCACAGAACCGGCTATTTATATTGTGTAAATTTGCCAGATCGAGGCTGTGCATGCCCAATGGCGGAGTGTGAAAAGAGCGAATTCCTTTCAGCTCCACCGTATAACGCGTAGTGTGGTGATGAATTTAATATTCGTGAAATGAACTCCGTATTTATCGTGCGCGCATTACTAATGGCCAATAATAACAGAGGTCACAGAGGGCGCTCTTTAGTGTGAGCTGCCATTTTTTTAGCTGTTAGTTTTTGTTTTAGTAATCCATTTTTATCTTCGTCCGTGTTTGTCATCCTTGCTTTTAAGCTGATAATCGTGCCTCTTCAATGTGTAGTAAACATTGTTACTGCTTTTTGGCTGGAATTCTGATGTTTTTTAATGGATTCTGCTGTATTGAACTTGTGTCATACTCATCCATACACAATCTTCATGGGCTACAATGTACACAACATGGACACTGTACATGCCGTATCTCTCGTGAGTACATGTGCTGCCTCAACAACATGGACACTATACATGCCGTATCTTTCGTGAGTACATGTGAAGGTGCTTGAAGTTGAACTGTTAATTGTTTTGCGTGCAATAGCTCTGCTGAAAACTGGATTTTGCAAAACTCTATTCTGTACACATGAACTGCAAGCTTGTGTGTGACCATCAACAGTGCACTGTGATAACCACCGGTGATTAGGAAGCAGCCATGTACAACTATACTAAGGAGTTTCTTTTGAACATACGCAATACTAGTGTGCATGTTAGAACGAGGAGTAATTTTGATCCAGCTGTGTGGAAATTAATGAAAGAATTGAAGATAGCAAAAGTCACACGTCGCGGCTGTAGATCGGGCAAAAGCAAACTGAGACAAATAAAAACCCGTATCACAACTCGCTCACATACCTGCATTCATAGAGTCCGTGGAGTTTGCCATGCAAACCTAGCTACATGTAACATATCGAAAGCTGTAACTGAACCAAAAACATGTGTTCTGCCTAGGGTCTACCTATGTAATCCCCGGTCTCTTAACAACAAGTTTGATGAATTTAGTACAATGGTGGAAGACTTAGATGTTGATATTGCTGGTGTTTCAGAGTCATGGTTCACATCGGAAAACCCAGTGGAACATTTTCAGATCCCGAATTACACTCTCATGACAAAGAACCGTACACGGAGACGTGGAGGCGGGGTAGCCATTTATGCTCGCGAGAACCTAGGAGTTCAAGAAGTTGATTCTATTACTGTGCCAAGCCACCTGGAAGTATTGTGGGTGAAAGTTAGACCGCAAAGACTACCGCGTGAAATTTCTGTGCTTTTTTATGCCATTATTTATTCACCACCTAACAGTACCCATGAATGTGAACTTATTGAACACCTACTGGATGGCTTTGACTATATCCGCACCAACTATCCACAGGCTGGTGTGACCTTCTTCGGTGATATTAACCACCTCGATACAAGTCAGATTTGCTCTGGTAATGGGCTATCGCAAGTTGTGAATCAACCTACGAGGAAAGACGCGATCCTTGACAAAATCATCACTAACCTGGATACTTACTACAAGGTTCCTGAAATATGTTCCCCAGTTGGAACAAGTGACCATTCATCAGTTCTTTGGTCTCCTGCCAGCAGACCCCCATCTAACACCAATGCAACACGTTCCCGGGTAGTTCGACCAATGAAAGACTCTGATATCAGAGCGTTTGGAACCTGGATTGTGGGTCATGACTGGACGGAAGTATATGAAAAAACAAGTGCTGTTGACAAATGTGATGCCTTTTATGTCACCTTACAGGCCAGTATAGACAATTATTTCCCTACCAAGACCACGACACTTCATAATACGGACAAACCATGGATGACTAGCTACATCAAAAGTCTTATTCGAAAGCGTCAACGGGTTTTCCACCATGGTCATCGTACGCGCAAATGGAAACGCCTTCGAAACAAGATTCGTCGTGAAATTGCCAAGGCAAAACATGAACATTACAAATCCAGGGTTCAACGACACAAAAAAGCGAATCCAGCAGAGTGGTACAAGCAGATTAAGCTCATGGCCAATTTGAAAAACTCTGAGTCATGTATTCATCCCCCTCCCGGTGTGGATCCCAACGACTTTAAGGCCATGTCCAACAGTATCAACGACACCTTTGCCGCGGTTTCTAAAGATCTTGAAGCCATTGACACTTCTAAACTCCCTGCCTTCCGACCAGATCAGCACCCCAGTCCAACTGTTCAGGACTATGAAGTTTACGACATGCTGAGGAAGACAAAGGTGGGAAAAGCCGGAGGTCCAGATGGTATATCTGCCAGGTTGATCAGAGAGTTCTCATATGAACTTAGTAAACCTCTCGCTAACATCCTCAACCAATCATACCATGAAGGAACAGTTCCACCTCAGTGGAAGAGAGCTGTGGTCATCCCAATTCCCAAATCAAAACCAGCCACTATTGACAAGTTGAGACCAATATCCCTGACTGACCACTTTGCTAAAGTTGCTGAGGGATTCATGGCAAGGTGGTTGTTGCAGGACTTAGAGAAATCAATCGACCCCAATCAATACGGGAATCGCAAAGGAGTCTCTACCACCCATTACCTAGTTAAACTCATGGACACCTTGTTTATGAATTCTGATAAGCCTGGTCATGTTAGCTCTGTCGTTATCACTGATTTCAGTAAGGCCTTTGATTTAGTTGACCACACTGTACTCATGAGAAAATTTATCGCCCTCGATGTCCGACCTTCAGTTGTTACATGGGTTGCCAGTTTTCTCAACGAACGAGAACAGTGTGTTCGCTATCATGGCCAAACCAGCGATTGGATCAGGTTGAAGGGTGGTGTGCCTCAAGGTACACGCATTGGTCCACTTGGTTTTGTCGCTGTGGTTAACGACGCAGCTTCAGACACCTCGCTTACCACCTTGAAATATGTAGACGATTTAACACTGATAGAGACAAGAGCACATAATGCACCATCAGTTATGCAAGGTCATCTTGATGAATTTGAGGAGTGGGCTATGCAAAACCATATGAAACTTAATCCTAAGAAATGTGCCTCCATGAAAGTGTCTTTCGTGAAAAAGAACCTAGACGAGCAACCACTAAAGATTGGTAATGAAACTCTTCAGTCTGTGGCAGATGCCAACATTCTAGGTGTTCACATCAGGGCTGACTTAAAATGGGGTACCCAGATCACAGAAATGCTTAAAAAAGCCAACGGTAGATTGTATCTCCTGAAACTTCTCAAGCGTTTCAACTTGCCTATGGATGATCTTATCACTGTCTTCTCTGGTTTCGTACGTCCTTTAGCAGAGTATGCAGCCCCTGTATGGCATCCTGGGCTCACTGTCATTGAGAGCACTGCATTGGAACGAGTCCAGAGGAGGGCGTGTAAAATCATCTTGGGCAATCAGTTCAAGTCTTACGATGAGGCACTTGAAGTGTGTAAGTTGCCTACTTTGTTTGATAGACGGGAACAGCTTTGTTTGAACTTCTTTAGCTCACTTATCAATTCAGAGCGTTTCAGTAGTTGGGTCCCACCAAAGAAGAGTACCATTCATAGTAAAGTATTAAGGAACTCACAAAAATTAGCCATCCCAAGGTGTAGAACGACCCGCTGTCAGAAAAACCCTCTCCTATACATGGCCAATCTGTGGAACAAGGATGGCTCATAGTTTTTTTGATTTTGTATCCTGACTTGCTACAGCCAGATACTTTTGCATCCTTGATTAATTGATACTCGCTTATTTTCATGCTTTCAACTACATGTACCAGTATCAATATCATTTCAAATAATGTGCAATAGTAATTTTTATTTTCGCTCTCAGAGTGGGCTGGTATAGAGGCAGCATTGGTTGGTCGTGGGAGAGGTCTTTTTGACTAACTTTTTTTTACTAAAGTAGTGTCTCTCTCGTCTGATTGAAGTTGTTTTGGCTAGTTTATTTTGAAAGTGTTCCTTTGGGATGCAGTTTATCAGTTTTAACTATTTTAACTAAGTGATCTTGACACTTGTGCGGACTGGTGTGCTCCGTCCCGGCTTAATTGTCCATGGAATTGATTCCATTCATGGGATGATTGGGTCGGGATGGAGTGCAGTGAGTTTGCGCGGGTGTCGAGACAGCGCTGGTTCGCCTGCGCTTTGGTGCATTTTAGTCTTTTACTTTTCTTAAATGTTTTAAATATATATTGAATGTTATCTCTTCATTTTTTTTTTAAATATTGTAATAATTGTTGCAATTCAGTTTTTTGCTGTGATGACAATTTTTAATAAACCTTTTATGAAATGAATGAATGAATGAATAATAGTGACTATTGCATTCATAGGCCTAATAATCATTATGTCAACAGTGGTGGCATTGAAAGTTACATCTTAACACTTGTTGCGCATCAACTCCTCCACCATGTTATTATACCTGTGTACATTCATAGAGAAAGGACACAATTCTTTTGCAATCGGACACAGAGCGAAAGGATGATGCCAGCTGGGTCAAGAGGTGCACCAAAATAGTCGCGGATGGGCCCACACCCGTTGGCCGACCGCGCAAGACGTGGCAGAGCGCTGCGACGGATGACATGCGACTGATTGGAGTCATAGGCGAGGGACGCGACGGACAGGGCCAAGTTGGAGGAGAGCCATAGGGAGAAAGCAGGCCAACAGGACACGAGAAGTGATTATGAGATTTGATTGATACGACAGCATTGAAACAGTGACAGTGTCAGTGATAATGACAAGCAGCCGACGACGATGCACCACTCGGCTTCTGATTCTTGACATCAATGCAGACGTATATAGTCCGTGTTTGATCAAATGAAGTCTCACTTATACGTACCTTGTGGAGATCTTCGTACTTTACAAACAGAAAATTCTCCTTGTCCCGCTGGTTCCAATAGCTGAGCACGTGCTCAAACCAACATCCCATTACCACTGGAGGTACATTTATAGGAACAAACAAACAAACGACGGAAGTCAACAATGAACAGTGAAAGTGATGAGGGCAAATACAGTGATTTACATATTGATTAAATTATCAGCCGAAGTTTTTCTTTAAAACCGTTGATTTGAAAGAAAACTTACTTTTCCCGTGGCAAAATGCCCAGAACACCTCATCAAAATGCCAATGTGATGCCATGTTGAATAAAGAAACGAGCATATCCTTTGGGTTTCGGGCCACGTACACCACCTTAAAAAAAAGAATCCGCCCCGAAGCAAGTGTTCACAAATGTACATGTATACCGCATACATTTACACATACACATTACACATTACGGACCGACAGTCACTTACCATCAGAAATGCTAAGCGTTAGTATAGGATATATAGGGGATGTATGCGCCAATGTGGCAGACAAAAACTTTGATGTGAAATGCACATCGCACATTGTGGACCAAAAGAAGTAATCTTGTTTGCTTTTGTAAGTTTTCATAATGTTAAGGGATGAGCTAAGACTTGTCGAAAAACAAATTTTAAATGTCAGAATCGTGCGGGCGCCATGCTCTCCCCATTCAATGCATTAAGGTCAGCTGACGGCTATTGACCAATAAACAGCCTCCATTTTGTTTGTCACGAAGAGGGTGTCATCGGTCGTCAGGCATAAAATTTGAATATTTAAACAATGGGCTAAAAAAAAAGGATAAATCTCATGCGTGGGGCGGGGAGCTGAGAGTTTTGTTTGCCTTTTTATTTTTTATCTCCTTTTCTTAATTATTTTTATGACTTAACTGACCAGTAAATATCATACTTTACCTTTGCTTGCTTAGTTAAGATCTGAGGAGGTCGAAAACTCTCCAAGCAGTGGCTTAAGATGCACCGTGGCGATGCCATGGCTGCGTACATCTTGTACCCGGGGGTCACACTCTCAAGTTGAGATGGGTCTTCTGCCATCGTCATCTCCAAAACGTTGGTCATGAAAGAACGGTTGAAATCGCCCTTCCCATCGTGAAGGATATAATGCAGTATTTCACTCATCCAGTGTGTGCCTGTTATTGAATAAAACAAGCTTTAATAACAGAGATTGGTAGCTCACCAATTAACAACAAGAACAACCAGAACAACAAGAACAACAAGAACAACCAGAGCAGCAGCAGCAGCAGCAGCAGCAGCAGCAAACAAGTCCTGTGTACAATTCCGAATAGGACTTGGTAATTTTAATTAAAAATAAAAAATAATAAAAAAGGTACCATATTTGTGTACCCAACTATATGACCCCGAACTTGACCCCGATGCTTACAAACCTTATATAACAGTAATCTTGCTTGGGGGCAATGCCTTTGTTTCGGTTTGGGTAATGCATGGTGTGATTTAACCTTTGGTGATTTAAATGACAAAAGATGCTCCCTAAGATGGCCGCTGCGCATGAAGTCACCTTCGCTCTAATAAGAAATATGTAAGAGTTACATCAGCATACCTTACGTTTTTATTTAAATTAAGTCACGGCACATCCTAATGGCAAGTAAACCGAGGGTTAGTGGACAGTGAAACCAGTCAGCCGGTGTTTTATCAACCGTTCAATTTTGGGAATTGGGTTGCACTTCTATAACATTTCTTCTACTGCCAAGTAATTTGAACTTGCTTGTCAAATACCTTAATTCACTCCAGAGCAATGTTATTTTTAAGCTCTTACAGGAGCTTTTATAGGTGTCACTTGGTAGTCGGTCGGTCGGTCAGTCGGTCTTTCTGTCTATCTGTCCCCGAAACATTGACCGAAAATAATTGACTAATGGAACAAACTGCCATGTCGTGGTCATAAAATGCACTCTTGAAGAAGGTTTTCGGAACAGCGGTTTTGTTTCGATCGATGCGCATGCGCGTTTATTTTGCATTATGTCTCTTCCCGAAAATTGACCAAAATAAGCCCCATAAGTTTCCCACCAAATATAACTACCGATTTGAAATTTTCAAAATAAATCTAAGACTTAACACAAGTTATTTGTAACAATTCAGACCGATGTTTATGAAAAAAATTGTAAATGGAGGCAAAATATATATGTGCAGTAATGTTATTGTCCAGTGGTATTTTGTGCAGTGGTGTATCCAGAAGGAGGAAATGTCCCCAAAATTTACCCAAAAGTATGGTGTTCCATAATGTACCACCGGCGTCGCATTTTTCGCCAGAGCTTGTTGTGCACTCGCATTTGTTGTTTTTTTCTGCATGCGCGTCAAAAAGACAAAGGACCTGATCGGTGATACAGGTCTTTTGTGCTAAAGGGAATATACATTAGCAAACATCGAAAAATAAAACTACCAAGTTTTTTTTTTAAATACCTTACTAGGATGTTGGTAAATGACAGTCTCAAGCATCTTGTTTTGACATGGCACCTGGTGTGAAATCATTTTCAAGAAAATGGTATTTTTGTATACATTTCCAACGGTGGTCGGCCGACCAGCGTTGGAAAAACCTAACTATTTTTCAACCACTGCTTCAAATTTACCATTTTTTGTCCAGATTTTGTTTGCTATTGGTCATATGTTCATAAACATGTGCAGGCCAGTTAGACTGGTTCCCTTGTCTTACAATTTTCCATCATCTATAAATTGATCCATTTTAGCTTTTTGTGGAGTCAGGGAACCAGACTACTTGAACATTTTAGTTTTTCTTGGTTTTTCCAACCTTTTTGAACACAAAACTTCAAAAATGCAAGTGTAACAATATTTGATCTATTATACTAACCCCTCAAAAATAGTTCATTTCTGAAATTATAGCAAAAGCCAATTATGTACATTCGCTATTTCTGATAGAGGAAAAAGAATGCCACGAAAACATCCTCATCGCTTGAACTGAAGCTGAATTCATGGTCGTGAACTTAACTGCCTGTTTTCCGTAACTTCGGTGTACATTTAAACCATAACATTTCTGCACTGCAAATGGCATCTTTTAGTGAGGTACCTTAGTGAAAAAATCGTGACGCAGTGGACAAAAGCACCATTTTTTCACCAAAGCATCTCCATGGTATACATTTTCGAAAAAAAGACGGACGCAAAAAATTGGATGGGAAGGGCATGTATGACGTCATTATGACGTCATCAGCTAATTATTACATGAAAAAATATAAATTGATAATACTCTTCAGAACTACAAGCATTACAACAACAAATGTGGTATCAAATTAAAGGGGACAGCAAGCTCTTTCATTTGAGTGGTATGTTATGGGGATGGAATATAGTTAAAGGTGATTTTGTGGGTCAAACAGACCCCTTTTGGGGGTCAAAAGACATGTTTTTAGGCTAAAATCATGGATTTAGGGTAGTCACATTGACACCTTGTTTTAACATGCAAACAGTATGTTGTTTTTAAGTTCGAGAGAAAAGTTCAAATTCTATGCCAAAAGAGTTTTTGTAATTGATTATTAGTATCATAAATATGTTTAAACTTGTTCCAAAGATAAGCGGAAAAGTGAGGCATCTTATAGCGAGCTACATTAGTAACAAAAATGTTATTAGGATCGTTACATGGTATTTAAAAGCACCATTTTTGTCACCAAAGCTTTGCCAATGTGTTACGATCAAAAATAGGGTAGGATGCAAAAAATCGGATGACAGGAAGGGTACTTTATGACGTAATAATGACGTCACAATATACTACCGAGCTCGTACAGTAATTAATTGTAGAACATAAGGTCGTGAAGCGTTGTGATGAGATTCCAAGTAATTAATTTGACATTTTGAGGGTCAGGGAATTGAAGAGTGATATAATCAGTGACATTTAAGTAACAATAAGCTGATTTGCTGTTGCAGTGACGTCACTATTTTCAAATTTTCTTGAAAAATCTAAGCATTTTTGATTATGGACAAAAGTGCTACAATGACGGTATTTGTCACGCAGAAAATAAATTGTGTGAAATTGTGCGGTTCCCTGAATTTGGTCTTTACCACATCCATTTGTTTTGATCATCTACTATAGCTGGAAGACGTAACCTTCTTATATGTGTTGTATATTACGGGTAATGAGGTATGGGTAAGGAGCCAGACAGAAAGGAACGTGGTAGCCTGAAATAGATTAACAGAGTGGCCGGAAATGGTGATGGTATGTCCTTTAACAATGTATTACAAACGGGGGCCGCCCGATAGTCCGAAGGTCCAATAGTCCGTAGGTTCTTTAGTCCGAAGGTTCGATAGTTCAAATGCACAAAACTTCCATCAGAGGGGGTTCGTTGGTCCGAAAATGAAATAAGGTTCGTTAATCCGAACATTTGATGCAATAGTCCGAAGGTATATTAATCCGAAGGTTCATTAGTCTCAAGGTTTATTTCTCCGAAGGTTCGATAGTCCCAATCGGTGATGTAGTGCCTTGATGCTGGGCCTTGGCCTTGGCCTCGAGGCTTGAGGGCAAAAGTCTTGGCCTTGTCTACTGCGCAGGTGAAAAGTGGAAGCCAAGCATAGCCACAAGGTATGCATGGTACCATTAAAGATAACTTTGTTTTATGAGGTTTTGGAAAGAATGCATGCGAAATGTTAAATGCCGTCATGTAGCATGGACAGGGTAACCAATAACACACATCAATCTGCATGGAATTGAAAACTTGCGGTACTTTATCTGAAAGGAAAAGAGGACCTAATTTTAGCATAGTTAATGCTTTGCAAGTTGCTATCGATTTGTTGCTTCTACAATGTACATGATATTTTTCATATGTGAAGCTTGCTGACTGAAAAATGTACCTACTTCAACAGTTACGAGTTTCAAATTTGATAATATGATGAACCTTGCTTTTCAGTGTGGAACAGACCTTGCCAGCTTTATCCAGAGGAGGGACGAGGAATGCAGCAAGACGGGAGTAACTCTCAAGACATACCATGGACCATTTCTTCAGTTCTTTAATGAGGTGACAGTGGCAAAGCTGTTTCGAGATAACCGTTTATGGTATTAAAGTTTTAAAATAACATATTTAAGGTTTTCTAAAAATTTGGGAAGTTCATTTTTCACAATAAACTGATACAAAATATTTTTTTTTTGTGAAAAGTGACGCAATAACATTTGGAAAGAAACTAAACCTTTTTCAACAGCTTGTGCTCATCTAGTAAATAATTATCTGAAGTTGCTTCCTTTCAAAATGAATCAGAACAATTTATACCAAGTTTTGAAAAATCTACTTTCAAGATTAGGCAATTGTTAATAAGATTTATAATGAATTACAAGACAATTCAGCAAGTCTATCTGTAAAATTGGCAATTTGAAGAAATCAATGCTGAACTTAAAGTACAAATCTTGAATATCATCCAACTTCTATTGGGGAGAACCACAAGATGGGTTCAAACTCAAAGTTAAAATTGATTGAATCTGAGGGAGAGGGTGACGATATTACGGAAACTAAAATATAACATCCACTTATTAAGCAATGATGTCATTTGATGCAGGCCAGGTCGGTTGTTTTTGTTTGTCTTTTGTTTACAACACAGCGCCAATTCAATCTGCAACAGCAGCGATGCTCCAGATGCTTGCATCTGTTTAAAATTCAAAATTGTAATGTTTTTTTATATCAAATTTCCACTCTAAGTCAGAGAGCAATGATATTTCATCTTTAAGAATCAATTCAACTCTTAAACTCTCAACTTTATTATAATTTCAAAATGTGAATTCATGCGCTGTGTCCATTGTAAATTTACGTACTGATATTCTTTGAAATAAAACCTACATGCAGAGGATGAACCCCAGCAATTATGTTGGTCTATTAAATCTTTTTAACCTGTAAACTAATTAAACCACTTGGCAACTTTAACCAATAAGATTGGTCTCTCCAAACAATGTAATTGGTCAAACATAACCAATAATATTGGTCATTCCAACCAATGTTCTTGGTCAAATTTAACCAATAATATTGGTCATTCCAACCAATACAATTGGTTATCTTTAACTAATAAGATTGGTCATTCCAACCAATATAATTGGTTATCTTTAACCAATATATTGGTTGTTTTGACCAATATGTGATGGTTAGTACTCTAACCCATGTCGGTTGGTTGAAAAATTAACCAATCAAGACTGGTTATGGATTGGTTGAAAAGGTCACCAATCTTGATTGGTTAAAAAACAACCAAGACATGTTGGTTAGTATTCTGACTAATATAGATAGGTTGAAAAGCAAACCATTTCAGATGGGTTATTTTAACCAATAGATTGGTTGGACACAAATCTACCAACCACATTGGTTGAATTTGACCAATATATTGGTTATTTCAACCAATCTGTTTTTAGAGTGTAGACACATGGATTACAAGATACGAGAACTGTTCGATTGCCTCATTGATGTTCTCCGAAGTCACCGTGTTAAAATTAGAAAAAGTTTTAACTATAGAAGGTTGTGAATCTTTTCTTTCAAAACTGAGGGAGGAATTATTGCAGTCATATTTATTTTATCGTCAATGTAAAATTGTGTCATATTTCATTTTGTTCCCGGGTATTTTCTTGTTGTTTCTTTAGAGTGTGTATTTAATGTGAGTGTAGACCTATGTATGTCAACTAGGTTGTTTGTTTTTATGGTTTACATATTTCTCTCTGGGGAATGGGATTGCTTTTGTTTCTCGGTTTTGTTTTGTTTTGTTTGTAATAATCTTTTTAGCCCGTTTGTCATTCATTCCCGTTATTGAGTCTGGTTGTTTGTTTTGTTTGTTTGTTTGTTTGTTTGTTTGTTGGGGTGTTGGGGTGTTTGTTTGTTTGTTCGTTGGGTTGTAAGAGTATTTACTTATTAGTTCGTTTTTATATTTTTGTATCTGTCTGGTTTGTCTAATGTTTCACCCTATGATTTTTTTGCTGAGTCTTGTCTCATCTCCCAGTCTTGTCTCGTCTCGTCATGTCTCGTCATGTCTCGTCATGTCTCGTCTCGTGTGGTTTCGTATGATTTGTACAATTTACTTTTCAATAGTACTTTAATTTTTATGAATGGAATTTTAAATCTCTGTTATTGGCAGGGGTTTAGATAATCGTCTGGTGACAATTTGTTTTTTTACTTTTACATATCCGTGGCAGCCTGTCCAACTTTAGCTTTTATTTTATGTTTTAAGATTTAAAATAAAATAATTGAATCAAATAAATCAAATAAAGTTTCTTCAAGTCTTTATTACGCTAGAGATTTCCAGATCGCAATACATAAAGAGAAGCAGCCCGAATAGGCGCGACCTAATCCGGCCAAATTATGATTTAGTTTATCTGTAATAATAAAGAATTTTGGCCCCTGCACTTGAGGGTCTGTATTTGTAGAAGTGAAGGGTCCATGTCCCTGAATTTGGATTTCTGAACAAAACATTTGAATGGAATCTATATTGATATGGAGTGGAAGGAATCTGTTTGTTTTTTGTTTTTTCAAAATGGCGATGGGGTGATCATCGTTGGAGGGAAAAATCACCCAAAAAGTCATAGGTCAACCCCCCCCCCCAAAAAAAAAAAGATTTCCAAAAAGGTAAAGAGGATTAATTCAGCTTTAATTCAGCTTTAATTCAGATTAATGTTCCCCGATTTGTTTAAATTGGGGTATTTATCTGCACCCTTAAATGGAGTGCTGTAAATTCAGGGATCGCATCAACAACTGCTTTCACACAGTCGTGTTTGTGTACCATACTTTCCCACACATAATCTTTTCATCTGGAAGGCTCATGTCACAGGAATGTCCCATTAAATTGTTTAGAAATATGTTGAAAATAACATCTTCATGGATTCCCAGCACAACTCCTCACAATAAGCCCAGTGTTAACAATATTTCTCGCTGTGGGTCTGAAAATGAAAATTGTCGGTTTGTGTATTATGAATATGATCAAGTGAAATTATTTATGCAGTATTTTGCGCATTTCCCTCAAAATTGCAAATTGTAATATTGTACATTTTTATCAATTTGCTAGAATATGTGATACCTCATCAACAAGTATCTTTTAACGAAATTCAATCAGAATATTTATCAATTTTAAAAAAATATTTTAGTTGTTTTGTTACGTGTTGGTGTCCCTGCCACACTGTACGATGGTGTAGCCGTGCGTTATGCACGTGGATTGTATACTTTCGTTTTGACGGGGACTTTACTGAATAGAGTCTGGTGACTGTACATAGAAATTTCTTTGAATAAAAGTCGAATCGTTCATTCATGTGCACTTGTTATGCAAAGCAGGGGCAGTGGTTCAAGGATATCTATTTCGACTTGCAGAGAGTGTGCAAGAACGCGACTTGAATGATTTTATGTGTTCACAATACAACGACGCTGTTTAGTTATTTCACTGTGTGACACAGTGAGAAATTTTGGAATCATAATGGCGTCAGCGATACTTGCTGGGGAGCTCTTGCGTACGACTTTCTGTACTTTGGTACTGTTGTCTCCATGACAATTGTGTGTACGGTAACCCGATGTACCCAGATATTTAAAGACGAAATTGCCGACTTCAAACTTGTTAGTGCCATATTTGGCAACTATATGTGCGTTATTAGTTTAATTAAACAAATGAACAGGTTAATTAAACACAGTACCATTGAAGGTACCTAAAAGTAAACATAACAGCATAGAAGACCGACAGACGAACATAAAATGTTACAAAATAAACATATTTGTCAGGATAATTTTTTAGGGCGTTACCGGCAAGTTAACACAAACTTGGTGTCAAATAGATAATGGGAGTTACTTTTCTTTGACTTTTCATTCAAGTTTACATAAACTGTAACTGTATGACCTGCAGTGGTGTAGCCACAGGGGGCGAGGGGTGGGTGGGGGCATGAAACCTTGTCGCCCCCAGCCGCTCCCCCCCCCCCCCCACTGAGATTTTGAGTTTCTAAAAAAAAATTCATTGATCTACATGACCCCCCCCCCCCCCAATGAAATGTTCCATCCCCCCAGCGCCCAGAAAAACTACGTTGTCCACAAAAAGGTTTAAATTGTAACGCCGGAGAAGTATATGCTCAATTCCTGGCTAATGTTGAAAGGTTTAGGGCAATAAATGCATTGCCAGTTGATGTAGAATACGGAGCCGAAGGGACAGTAGAAACTTTTGTGGAAAATAATGCCTCGTGGCATCATTCCTGAGGTAATCATTTATGAGATAATCATGACGTACCGGTAAAACATTGCATTTTAACGAATCATTGATCACAACAGGGGATAGGAGCGAGGGTCAAATGTACATGTACATACATGTTTAATTTATTACAAATTAGGAAACATCCCTCTTTTTATCAAACTATTTGTATTTAACTCTTTTAAAGATAGTCTAAGAACAAAATTGGCAACTGCACTGATTTCCTTGATCTCAGAAATGTATATTAAATGTAAAAAAAACGATCCATGGCTTATTCCTAACTAATATTTCAATTTTAATGTATAAGTGTGTAATAATTAGCCGATGACGTCATAATGATGTCATAAATAACCCTTCCCATCATCAATATTTTTGCATCCTACTTTTTTTTCGAAAAAGTAAACAATGGAGATGCTTTGGTGTGAAAATGGTGCTTTTGTCCACCCGTGTCACGATTATATCACTAAGGTACCTCACTTTTCCGCTTATCTTTGGAACACTAAACATTTAAGATACTAATAATCAATTACAAAAACTCTTTAAGCATAGAATTTGAGCCTTTCTCTCTGACTTAAAAACAACATCTCACAATACCACATACTGTTTGCATGTTAAAACAAGGTGTCAATGTGACTACCCTAAATCCATGATTTTAGCCTAAAAACATGTCTTTTGACCCCCAAAAGGGGTCTGTTTGACCCACAAAATCACCCTTAACTATATTCCATCCCCATGACATACCACTCAAATGAAAGAGCTTGCTGTCCCCTTTAATTTGATACCACATTTGTTGTTGTAATGCTTGTAGTTCTGAAAAGTATTATCAATTTATATTTTTTCATGTAATAATTAGCTGATGACGTCATAATGACGTCATACATGACCTTTCCATAGTTCAATTTTTTGCGTCCGCCTTTTTTTCGAAAAGGTATACCATGGAGATGCTTTGGTGAAAAAATGGTGCTTTTGTCCACTGTGTAACGATCCTTAGCATTTTTGTTACTAATGTACCTCACTATTTGGAGTGTGTCGGACTAGGGACAGGTGGCCATAGTGTAGGCTATCAAGCCTTACCTGATCTTGGGTAGGTGAAGACGTACACGTCGTCATCGCGCACTTCAAAAGTCCTCAGAGCTTCCAGATTGGACTGCGGAATGAAACCCGGGAATTTTCTCCCATTTACGACATGGCAGCCCATCTGCTTGTCGGTAGCAGCCAACTCCTCCTCCAGTTGTTGGAGTGTTTTCCCGTTGACCAAGTCCGGCATCAACGCCTGGATTTGTTCGGTAATGCTCATGGTGGATTATGTTCAATGCGAGGAACACTGGTACGAGCGATTTGGCTGTGTTTAACTTTCAAGTCTGCGTGTTGAACAACAAGTCAACTGCAGCTCAAGGCCGGGTGACTTGTAAAGATTTGACCCTGAACGTAAAAGGCCGCGGCTTGTCATGTGTGCCTTTATGAAGTGCAGTAGCCTACATTGTTCCCGTCACGTCATTTTGAAGGCTATTTATGCGATATGTTAAAGTGAGCCTGCAGTGAGAGCACCATGTGCGTCAAGTAACACATGGCACGCTGAGAGACGGGATATGTTCGTGTGTATGCCATACGTCTGATGTTGTTATACGAGCGGGACCGCCGCTCACACGAAATAATTAGACATAAGACATAAGACAACTTTATTAATCTCCAGATGAAGAAATTACAATGCTCGCAAAGCTTATAAAAAGGGACGAACACTGAATACAAAATACATTAGTTAAAATATTTCCAAATACCAGATAAAAACATTGCACGTGAAAGAGAAGCCTGTACATGTCACCCACTGTCTAGTCATAATAGTATACAGCAGATTGGTGATAAGATTGTTCAGTTTGATGATCAATTGGGCCTGAAATTTGGCACAGTCAGAGTATATGTCATGTCACGGGAAAGATATTTGGCTATCTAGGTAGGGCCATCGATTTCAGATTTGTCCTTTGAAGAAAATATCATGAATAACAAGCAATTTTCCAAATATTAAAAACAAGCTGATTTACCCGATCATAGATCGGGTAGGGCGTATTTGTGTTGGGGTTGAAAGTGTGGGGAGTTACATGTAAATGGGGGATTTAGTTGAGAAGACATGTAGCTATAGAAAAGCAATTTACGGTGACGCGATCTGAGGCAATTTCTGACCACGTACGATAGTAAAACAAAAGATCATCTTTTAAACATCATTTTCGAGTTTGGAGTCATTGAATCAGCTGTTCTGAGCAAAAGAATATTATAGTAGGCTACAATTTTTATTCGGGGAAGAAAAAGTGGGGGTAGGGAACCAAACGATATTGCCCGCTTTAAAATGTTGGGGTGGGGGTCCCCCGTCCCCCACCGATTGACGCCGCGCCCATGATAATTATGTACCATGGCATGTATAACTGTCTGTAAATGTTCCCGTTGGTCTGTTAAATTGCATTTTGTGAGGCAGTCGCGTTTGTTAATGTGGGAAAACTGAGTTGAAAGACTTACCGCATAGTACACAGGCGAAGGCTGATTGTACTGTTTTGACAATAAATCATAATGGAATAAAACGTGAAGGTGGCATTTGCAATAAAAAATGTTGAGTGTGTTATCATAAAATTACATAGTCTGAATCATGGAGGAAGGTCATTATGAAGGTACAGTATTGGACTCTTCAACAAACGTAAACTTGAACTTCTTACAATTTGCGAGACCTGCGAGGAAAAAGTCGATTTAACTATTTTATTCAAGTTGGCATGGTTCAACCATAATATAAGCAAGGCCAAACAGCCAACAACCGCCAATATTATTATTTATGCACTCTTCGTTATTCCAACCCAACATAGTTCAAAGATCACAATATTTGAAGCAATGCATCGATCCCTCGTTGATTTACCCGATCATAGATCGGGTAGGGCGTAGAGTTGGGGATGAAAATGTGGGGAGATGAATGTAACTGGGGGATTTAGTTGAGAAGACATGCAGTTATAGAAAAGCAATTTCTGTGGTGCGATCTGAGGCAATTTCTGACCACTAACAATCATGTACCATGGCAACAGTCTGTAAATGTTCCCGTTCTGTTAAATTGGCATTTTGTGAGGCAGGGCATTTGTGGGAAAACGTACTTGAAAGGCTTGCCGTAGTACACAGGCGAAGGCTGATTAAGAAGGTCATAATTAAGTTTCAGTATATTGGACTCTTCAACAAACGTAAACTTGAACGTCTTACAATTTGCGAGACCGTCTGCGAGGAACTTGTCGAGTCAACTGTTATTCAACTTGGGGCAACCATCTATATAAGAGCAAATTTTACTCGGCCTCCGAGAAATGTTTGCTCCTGAAACGATCTGAGACCGCGGTCTTTCGCGACGCCAAAATCGCTCCACGTCCGTGGAAAAATGTGGAGGGTGTCTTCCGCCGGATCGGACACATTTTCGTTGATTTTTTGTGTGACTGCGTTTAAGATCGCGATGTTTGAAGCAATGCATCGATCCTTCGTTGATCCCAGACAGGCCCCCGAAATTATAAAGCAACACTGTGGCGGGCAGCGAACTCACAACGCTCAGCCTTGGTGGAAGCATGGAGCTGTATTAACACACGATGGAAGCAACAGAGCACTATACACGTCACTCACATGCTTGTGCTTCAAATCATGCAAATAGCGAGCACCGTAGACCCAACCTCGTTTCCAGGGTGCGGAGCAGGCTGCAGTACGCGTTGCCATCGACAGTTTTGCATAGCCCGGAAATACTACGCAGTGTAGACTTTCGATTGGTCAGACCGCGCAAGGCATACTTAATGTGTAGTCCTTCTGAGTATTCGTTGCACACGGCGCAGGGGCGGCAAGCGAAGCATATGAAAGAATAGGGGCACTTGGTGGCCACGCACCATGGAGAAAAAATATTTTACCAAGGTCACCCCATAACACAATTTGGTGAACGCTTTTGCAGAACGGCTGAGTAGAACACGTAAACGGAACCCCTACGTTGACCTCGCTGACCTCGCACAGTCTAGACACGCAGAGAAGCCAGCACAGGGGGCGGCCAGGCAGTCAACGTGAAAGCGCACACGACGGCAAATTCCTGCGAAAAACGCAGTCACGAAAAATCGACGAAAAGGATCGCCGGTCCGTACGGGAAAATCAGGACGACCCGAAGTGTCCGACCCGGCGGAAGACACCCTCCGCATTTTTCCACGGACGTGGAGCGATTTTCGCGCAGCGGGTGCCCGCGGTCTCGGATCCTTTCAGGAGCAAACATCGTCTCGGGGGCGAGTAAACTTCTCTCTTATATATATAGATGGCGGCCATTGCATGTTATTCTATGATTTTTTTCAAAGGACAAATCTGCAATGGCCCTATAGCCAAATATCTTTCTCACGACACAAGAGTTATTACAGATCATTATTACTGAAGAGTTATTACAGATCACCAAAATAGTATTTGATACTTGAAAGTTGAATATACAACATTTTCAACAAAGTTACAAAATAATGTCCACATATGTGTTTTTACCATGTGTTGGTGGCGTTATGAGGACTTTTTTGGAAAAATATGTTGCCAACCACGGCTTCAATTTATGCGCTTACGGCAGCTCATACACAATGGCGCCAATGTTTACAAACAAAAGAAAGGCCTTATTCTGCGAACCATCGTTATTAGAGGGCGCCTCTCCAAATGAACTGCTACCATCCACGTAGTCTGGTTCCCAGACCAAAAGATTCCGACTATTCCTGATGATCGGAATCTTAGGTCAGGTAGCCTCCGGTAATACAATGTATTACAATTTACGTCACGTGACTAAAACGGGAGGAATTCCTCCTTTTTCCGAAAATGTCCGAAGTTTGCCGAATTCATTTCATCGACAATCGGATAGTGTCCGAGTTTTTCCAAGTATAATATACGTTTTATTAACTGCTAATTGCTTATTAAAAACTTAAAAAAAACTAGTTGATAATTAATATCCATTGCTTTAGAAAACTTGAAATTCAACGACGATTTTGCACTCGGATCGTATACGAGGGGCGAACTTTTTGCTGCGTCATGCACTAGTTTGAATTTGACGACCGTTACCGGCATTTTCCAAAACTCGGCGTGGTCTCATTTCGGCTCCGCCTGCTAACAGTGCTGTTTGGGTGTCTAACTTTGAAGATTGCACGTCAAAATTAGTCAATGTTTTCTGACAGAAGTATTTAACTGTATATCATAACTGTATGATATATGAAGCAAGTGAATGATTTTTAACAAAATTAATCGGAACATTAAAAGCTTTATGTGATAAGGCGAATTCGGAAACGAAGCCGAGCTTTGAAAAAGGGCCGTCAATGTCGTCATGTTTATTTTTAGCCACGGAGGCTGCCTGACCTACAATTTAGACGTGTAGACGTCGGGGGAAATTGTCAGGTCGGGGAACCAGACTACCATCCACGATCTCGTGGACGATAGCAGTTCGTCTGGAGAGGGCGCCCTCTAACAGCGATGGTTCGCGCTTTCGCGGAATAAACAAAAGGAGAGTCTTGGAACCAAGACTAGCCTGAGCACAGTAATTGCTGGAAAATAAGGAAAAACCTATGGGCTGACAGAGATCTCGAGGTTATGCAAACTTCTGTACATCAGGAATATGAGGCGCAGACTTTGACACATCTGTAAAGCGTTTTGAGAAAGTTCGTCTTGACCGAGTGAAGTGTTTGGGAGCTGAATTCAATTCCGGAAAAGACAATCTGTGAACTAATACCGCTCAATATTTTGGGGTTTCCTCTTCCCCATATTTTTGCGATGGGTGTGGCAGCTTGCGTCCCCCGCTATTTCGTCTATTTTCAGCCGTTTGTTGGAGGTGAATTCGCCCCGCGTTCCAGCTTATTTGCACCGTCAAAGAACTGCCATCCTTGGACTCGTCCTTCGCTGCAGAGCCTGGTCAAGTCCTTGCCCGTGAGATCTTTTAAATTATATGGTATAAGATATTATCTTAATTGTGCACTAGCGTATAACCTAATCATTGTACACTTGTTAAACCCTATTGACACTTGAAGTATTTAACATTCTCTCATTAAATCACATTTGGGAACATTCAGGCTTTTTGAGTAATTTACATTCACGGATAGTTTGGAAATCTTCGGATGGTAACAATGATTTCGAGAAATATCGAAATCCATTTCAAGATATTACCTCGAAATCCATTTCAAGATATTATATTGAAATCCATTTAAAGATATCTTTAATTCCATTTTAAGATATCGTAAAATCCATTTCAAGATATCTCGAAATCCACTCCAAGATATCTCGAAATCCATTTCAAGGAATTACCTCGAAATCCATTTCAAGATATTATATTGAAATCCATTTCAAGATATCTTTAAATCCATTTCAAGATATCTTTAAATCCATTTCAAGATATTTCGAAATCCAATTCAAGATATCAATAACTGGATTTCGAGATATCTTTAAATGGATTTCGAAAGAATTTAAAATGATTAAATCACATTTGGAAACATTCAGGGATTTTTGAGTAATTTACATTCACGGATAGTTTGGAAATCTTCGGATCGTAACAATGATTTCAAGAAATATCGAAATCCATTTCAAGATATTACCTCGAAATCCATTTCAAGATATTATATTGAAATCCATTTCAAGATATCTTTAAATCCATTTCAAGATATCTTAAAATCCATTTCCAGATATCTCGAAATCCATTTCAAGATATCTCGAAATCCATTTCAAGATATCTCGAAATCCATTTAAAGATATCTCGAAATCCATTTCAAGATTTCTCGAAATCCATTTCAAGATATCGCGAAATCGTTTCCACTCCCGTGTTACATTAATATAGAGTGCCCTTATCACGTCTTTCAATTAAACCCTCTGACATGCCACTGGTGAAAGCGGAAATAGTTTCAAGATATCTTGAAACAGATTCGAGATATCTTGAAATGATTCAAGATATCTTGGACTAGATTTCGCGATATCTGGAAATGGATTTCGAGATATCTTTAAATGGATTTCGAGATATCTTTAAATGGATTTCGAAAGAATTTAAAATGATTTCAAAATATCTTTAAATGGATTTCGAAAGAATTTAAAATGATTTCAAAATATCTTGAAATGGATTTCGAAAGAATTTAAAATGATTTCAAAATATCTTGAAATGGATTACGAGATATCGTGAAATTGATTTAGAGATATCTTGCAATGGATTTAGAGATATCTTGAAATGGATTTCGAGATATTTTAAAATGGATTTCGGGATATCCTGAAATGGATTTCGTTTTGTATTCGATTTGGAGATATCTTGAAATGATTTAACAATGGCCTACCAATGAATAACCGCCGCTGTAGAATGTTTCACCTGATGGATTTGGAAAGGATATAGTTCATATTTCCAATTTTGTTCCAACTACTATGGGCACTACGTCAAAAAAAAATACCAAAGGTCACTTAATAATTGTTACCCATTAATGTGGCCGATAATATTGCCCTTCCTCATTGAGGGCAGTTTTTTGCCAAATACTTCAGCAATTTTTTTGCCCTTTACTGGGCAAATTAAACCCATTTATCAAAAACCCGTTAAAATCATTTCTAACATCTGTTATCTACAAACACGCACCTGCAAACATACATGTTTACATGACATACGTAGTGTGGCCATTCTTTTGTTTGTTTTTTTGTAGTCGAAACCTGTCGAAAAAACCCTAATTTGAGGCTTACTCACACTGTAAAAACTCTTTCAACCCATTCCCCCCCCCTATGATTCCCCTTAGTGTTTCTCTTCATTTTGCCACATATAAACCTAACCCCAAAATGCCTCTAAACCTGTTTTCCAGAGAGGGGGGGGGAACACTGTGTGGACGTAGGCAAGTCCACACAACGTCGCTGCTACCTGATTTTATATGCCTATGTGGACCTCTTTTGTTCGGAAGTCCAAACAGTGAACGTAATGCTTGTACACACACACTCACGTTCGCACAGGCAGTCTACCACTTTTCCGACCGATGATCTGCCATGACGACTCTACGTGTGCGCGTTGCGGCCCCCATCATCGATGTTGCCACATATTGGGTGAATTTTGCGTGAATCCTACCCTTTTCACCAATAAGCCAATGTACCCAATAACGAGGCAACGGCAATATATTTCCCCAACATACCATATTTGCTACCCACGTCTTCCTTGAATTATGCTCAACTTCGGAGATTCTTAAAGTATCCAACTGTTTTTATTTACCAAACAACGCTAATTAAATAGCCAATAAATGGGGAAATATCGGCCAACATTTCGTCAGCGACACCACGAAGTAACACCCAAGTGGACTTCAGTGCTCGCTACATACGCGCGCGTATTCCGAGTGATATTCGTTTTCACGAAGTAACACTCATGTACACTGTGCCCTGAATCGGTCATTTTCGTTTTCACGAAGTTACACTCATCTTTATTTCACCAGTTTGAAGGCTTTTGATTACAATTTTCTGTAATCCTACAAGAATAGGTATTAATTACATTCCTGTCAAACATTTTAAAACGCTTTAATCCAAATAGTATTTCCGTAACAGTGTGAAAACGAGAATCATTCTCGCCAGTGTCCGATGTGCGCGCGCCCTCACGAGTGTTACTTCGTGAAACCAAAATTTGTCATTTTGCGGTTTTCACGAAGTAACACTGAAGTGGACTTGGGTGTTACTTCGTGGTGTCGGTGACAATTTCTGCGGCTTGTAAAATACCCAACGAATCATTTGCCTAATATGTTAACAATGTATAGAATTACCATAGTTACGGATGATATTCCCTTTATTGCACTCTTTATTGTGTCCCTACATGCAAATATTCACTCCAGGAATGAAATCAGTTGGGTGTCATTGAACTAGACCCAATGGGAACCCGATCCATTACTTTCCTCACACTTTAGTTACGCACTGTATACGATGTGTGTTATATATTTTCTATTATCAGTATATATCTATTGAAAGTTATGAGCACATGTCAGCACGTATAGGCTTCTTTTGACAAATATAAGCTGTATCCCAATTATAATCGTTGCCTTAGAAATTCTACAGAACGGAATACAGAGAGGCAGTATATCCAATAGCATACAATAATTGCACAGGCCTCTCAAATCTCAAAGTCAAAATCCAAGCCGGTCCCTTCCATCCTCAGGGCGTAGATCTTGTCGAAGAGGGCGCTCTGTGCCACCGTGAAAGTGTTCTTCCAGTTGCCGACTTGTCCTGTTGCGGAAAAAAACAGAAGGTGAAAAGTATTGTTAAATCGACGACAACATACTCCTGGAAAAATACTCCGTACAATACAGGGTGAGTCCAAAAAAACCAACGAAACCCTAATGTCGGCACCATTGTTTTAGTGATGTTCTGCATGAAAACAAATCAGATAGGGATGTGTGTGAATTGTTTTCGTTTTGCTGAAAGAAAGCACACCTTTTTGTGATCCGTGCACGGACAGAACTTTAATACGGTGGTTGTGTTTTAAATTCCGTAACTTGAAAAGTACATGAGTGATTTGAATGATTCTTGTACTAAAAGGACGCTTATGAAATGGGCTTTCATATCCTAGATTTTGAAAGTACTACATGCAGAACTTAACTAAAACAATATTCCCGACATTTGTGTTTCGGTTTTTTTACTCACCCTGTATTTCATTGCATTGGCTAATAATGATAACTACTTTCATCTGGCCAGCTTGCAAATTCTCCAGAATTATTTGGAAAATCACAAGCCGAAGCTCCAATCCCTGCAGGATTTAATGGCGGGTCGGAAATGTCCACTGTTTATTTTAAGGTGATGAGGCTGTGCCCATCGCCCACCTTTGGTTTTGTCTTTGTTCTTGCCTCTGGACAATAATTCTCCGCAGCTTTTCTATCAAACGACTTAATAGGGTGTAATGAAAACAACACCGTTTTAGTTCGTGACAATTTCCTAGTTTTAAAAGTTGTTTTCACTTAATCTTTTATATGAAAACTGTCAATCAATCAAATGATGATATAATCAACAGTTTTTTGACGTTAGGCATTTAAAAACCGTGACGTCATCACACCGGGAGTGAAATGCCAATCAAGACATAAAAATACATGTTCGTGTCATTCGAAGAAAATCTTTTCCTTCATCGTTTGTGCCATTTTTACATTGACATTCATGACTGAACTGAACAGCGTACAACTAAATGCGAGCGTTGCGCCCAGTGTCACCCGGCGTTTGTCACAAAAACAAAATGATACACGTATCTTTTGTTTTCCAACGTGGATCAGGAGAAAAAAGAAGCACGAAACAAAGCAACACAGTGACCAGTTTAAATTGAAAGGTATGAAAGATGGGAAGAGACATAGGAATGGGAAACCATTAAAAAAAAAAGAGCATATCTATACAGGGTGACCCAAATGTTTGCCTTTTTTTCAAAAACGTGATGTGTGAATTTTTATGTTTTGGGTATCAGATTAAAGCTGAGAACTTTTCTTTGAAATACCGAAACAATCATGAAAACAGCACATTGGGTTGCTGAGAAAATGCCAATTCTGTAAAAGAAGTGATTTTTCATCCGTTCCAAAAGTGCTTCACAAACAGTGAAACATGTTACTGTAAGCCCACTGCGCAATTATCTTTCATTTATGCAATTTTTGATGATCAAAATGTTTAAAATGGGACTAAAAAGGATAAGGTACCTGTTCGGGTGGATAATAAAAGGTATTTCCATCAAATTAATTTGTACGTTTGTCATATTATGTGCCGTGTTGATAAGGATTGGGACACAATGCGCTATGCATTTCATGCACAAATAGGTACAATGAAATCCCCTAACCGTGGTAATGCCATTGGAATGGATGAAAAATCACCTCTTTTACATAATTGACACTTTCTCAGCAACCCAGTGGGTTTTCATGAATTTTTTTGAGTATTTGAAAGAAAAACTCTCAGTTTTAATCTGATATCCAAAACAATAAAAATTCACCGATCGCTTTTTGAAAAAAAAGGCAAAATGTTTCAGGGTTGCAATTTCTTTTGGGTCACCCTGTGTACCGAAACCTTCTGAGTTCAATGGATCACCCAATAATCAATGGAATAACACTACCGCATCACACCTCTTCTTAGATATGGAAAGTCGCGTAGAAAATGGGTCATGCGTTTCCCCTCCTCCCCGCGTTCTTCCTCAATCTGTTGATAAGTCTTCTGCATCCCACCAAAGGTCACGCGTTCCACGATGTCATCGATGACGTCATCGGATAGATCCTTCCCGAGATGCTGAGCTAGTTTGCAAATGGAGCCCCTGAGGTCCTGAATATTAATTACGAATAAACACGAAGCCTTGTGGAATTTCGTGAAGCGTTTGACTCAGTTATAGTTCTGAATATTCCCATATTTCTTCCCCATATAAATTCAAGCTTCACTGTGTGGTGATCAATTTAATATTTGTGAAACGCCTTATTACAAAGGGCACAAATTTAAATGTCCAATAAATAACACAGTGATAATTAAGGCCAAAAAAAAGGCTCCGGTTTCTGGTATGCGCGTGCGTCGCCATAGCCATGCGCGTCGGCAAAATGAAAAAAAAAATTCAATGAAAGATGATGTCTCAAAACCGCCAAACTCACTGGTTTGACTGGAATCCTGCTGCTGCACAATTTTAACGTGTTTTTAGATTGGGTTATGGTCGAGAATAAGCTTTATGTGGCCTCTCTGGACTCCCATATATTTGCACTAAGTTTAGTCGGGCACCATTTGCAGTCATCAGCCGACATCTGAAGCAAAACAATCAGGTAAAAAAACAAAAAGCCGCGTCGCCGCACCACTTTTTGGGCAAGCTCCATACCAGAAACCGGAGACTTTTTTGGGGGCCTAAGACAAGATAAGTTTGCGGTAGCACCATGTGAATAAATGTCTTTTGTGAGTATGTGTGGTTCACAAGATAAGTTTGCGGTAGTACCATGTGAATAAATCTCATTTGTGAGTATGTGTGGTTTAGAACCACACATACTCACAAAAGAGATTTATTCACATGGTGCTACCGCAAACTTATCTTGTCTTAGTATCTTTCCACCATGCAAACCTTCAAATCTCAACAGTGATAATCGCATAATATTGACGATTACAGTTACACCTACATCCTGGGCTACAATTACTGACAACTAGTGGGAGTCGGGTTGGCGCAGTTGGGGAGTCAGATTGGCGCAGTCACTTTCCTTGCCTTCCACCTCTATAGCTCGGGTTCGATTCCTGCCCGTGGATTGGGTTTTTCAGTCCCTGCCTGATTCCGTGGTTTTCTTTTGCCAGATTCCGTGGTTTTTCTCGGGTTTTCCTCCCACCTCGAAAACTGTAATTTCTTCCCATTGTCTTCTCTCTGAGAGTTTATTCAGGCTTTCGAGCTACAGTGCCTAGGGCACTTTTGAGGAATCCTCGTTTTCATTACCAGAAATAAATGAAATAAAAACAAGCTCGAAATCATCTCGGAAGCTGCGGGCCAGTGAGTGTGTGTTCGTACCATCTATCTCTAACATACTGGGCAGAAGGCACACAACGATACAAATTCTAGTATGTACGCGCTCTTGCATGACATGTCTCTGGCATTGAATAGAGGATTTCCCATTTGTTGAACGTCACAATGCAAACTTGCCCTCGATAATGCAAGTCTGTCTGCCCTCCAATAGCCTTTAGTCAAGTCCCACGCGCTTACCCGGACACGTGACGCACCCCTGATGCTGACACGTAAAAAGACTAGCACGAGCAGCGAAGTCGCGAGGGCCTTTACCATCTCGTGGTAAGAACGCTTATGTTTTTCTTTACATCTGTCTATGCCGATTTGGTAGACATGGCGCGCGTGCTGTTGCTGGTAACCGCCAACCACCGTTAGATGATTTGTTTATATTGCTTGATGTATATTACGTGAATAAATGAATAAGTGATTAGTTCCACGAGTTAGTAAAGGGGCCTCGCGGCTTCGCCGCTCGTGTCTTTTTACGTGCCAGCATCCGGGTAGCGTTACGTGTCAGGATGGTCCGTGTATAGGCGCGTGGGACTTGACTAAAGGCTAGCCCTCCAATAAACCTGACACAGGGCCTCAAGCAGAAGCTGGCTAAGGTGAGTTATAGTGCACAGGTGCGCATTCCAACGTTTGTTACTGACTAACTAACCTACGGATTGACGGAGCGACATAATTACTTGTAGAGCTGCTTTTCGCAGCTAAAAATCAAAAAGTTTCACTCGAGGGAGTTATTACACTGTGTGTACTGAACGCTGACGCAGAAGGAGGACACAAGAGGTGATTTGGAGAAAAAAAAATTGTGAGCCCCCCTCCCCCCCCCAAAAAAAAAATCCTGGGTGCGCCACTGTTTGATCATGGAGATTCGATCGATATACGACGGCATTGCGACAGTGACAGCGACAAAACCATCCGGCCGAAAATGATGGTGACTTGCACCGTCTGTATGGCCTTCTCAGCATCACTGCCGAGTTTGACCCGACTCAGCTTGTCTAATACCGACCTTGTGCAGATCTTCGTACTTGACAAACAGACAATTCTCCGTGTCTCTCTGATTCCAATAGCCGAGCACGTGGTCAAACCAAGATCCGAAATACACTGGAGGAATCAACAAAAACGATAATGATTCGCAACAGTCATAAATTACGTGGGACCGGTTTTACAGTACTAATTGTAATAGTCAATGTTGTTGAAAAAAAAGATCGCCCTACATTTGTGTGTACAGCGAACGGGAAATAGGGCACGGAAGTAGCACTTTGCAAAAGCGATATCGATTTCGTTATTTATGGGTTGTTTTTTAAGCGGGTTTTTTTTTTGCACGGTAACTTACATTTTCCGAGACAAAATGCCCAGAACACCTCATCAAACTTCCAATGAGATGCCATGTTGACATAAAAGGAAACCAGCACGTCCTTTGGGTTTCGGGCCACGTACACCACCTAAAATATAACAAAAACAGAAAACGATATGTACACAAATTTATATACGTTAATTACACACAAAACATATTAAGGACCATTTGGAATTTGCGAGTACGAAAGACGTACGAGGAACACTGAAAATTAGCTGTCGATAATTTGTATGTCACTAGGAAACAACCTGCAGTTAATGTACGTGTGGTGAGACAGGCATCCGAGCGGAATGATTAACGTACGAGATGTGACATCAGGTGTGCTTATTTACCAGACCTACGTTAGCTGCTACATTATGTCTGAAAAGTTAATATGTCAAAAACAAAGGTGATGTACAAGCATGCAGAACAGAAAGAGATCAAAGTCGATAATGGGGTACTAGAAGAAGTATATAACTAAATATGCTTATCTGGGACAGGAGCTTTGGCCAGTTGGTAATCAAGTACATACATGAAAAGGGAATACGGGGATGGGAAACTTTTAGAAGGCACTATTTATAAAATCCAGCCCAACCATTGCATATTGCGACCAATGATATGGAAGCCAAACTTAAACTTGGAGCAAAAAAAAAATGAGATGGGGAATTTCAAACTGCTCAAAGAAATGTGGAGTGGAATGTTAACTGGTTACACTAGGAGAGATTGGAAGAATAAATGGGTTTATCAGGGACCCGACCAAAGTAAATGATGTAGTGATGACAGCAAACAGGACTAATTGGACATGGGCTGGACATCTTGCAAGAAAAGAGGATGGAAGATGGAGCCACCACAACCAAACGGCAACCACTACACATAACACAAGGAAGAGAAGAATACCGAGCTGGTGATGAAAACGGGGACAGCAGCTTGGAAAAGACATACCAAAAATAGAGCAGCTGTAGGATGATACAGGAGGAGGAGGAGGAGGAGAAGGAGAAGGCGGGGGAGGAGGAGAAGGGGAAGGAGGAGGAGGAGGAGAATGGGAAGGAGGAGGAGGAGAAGGAGAAAGCGGAGGAGGAGAAGGAGAAGGGGAAGGAGGAGGGGGGAGGAGAAGGAGAAAGCGGAGGAGGAGGAGAAGGAGAAGGGGAAGGAGGAGGGGGAGGAGAAGGAGAAAGCGGAGGAGGAGGAGAAGGAGAAGGGGAAGGAGGAGGGGGAGGAGAAGGAGAAAGCGGAGGAGGAGGAGAAGGAGAAGGGGAAGGAGGAGGGGGAGGAGAAGGAGAAAGCGGAGGAGGAGGAGAAGGAGAAGGGGAAGGAGGAGGGGGGAGGAGAAGGAGAAAGCGGAGGAGGAGGAGAAGGAGAAGGGGAAGGAGGAGGGGGGAGGAGAAGGAGAAAGCGGAGGAGGAGGAGAAGGAGAAGGGGAAGGAGGAGGGGGAGGAGAAGGAGAAAGCGGAGGAGGAGGAGAAAGAGAAGGGGAAGGAGGAGGGGGAGGAGAAGGAGAAAGCGGAGGAGGAGGAGAAGGAGAAGGGGAAGGAGGAGGGGGGAGGAGAAGGAGAAAGCGGAGGAGGAGGAGAAGGAGAAGGGGAAGGAGGAGGGGGGAGGAGAAGGAGAAGGCGGGGGAGGAGGTGGAGGATTCATGGCAGGGGCGTAAATCCGGGGGTAGGGGTATATATCCCCCAACACCTTTTGACCAGGGGGATGGGTTATTGAATCAGCCCCCCCCCCCCCCCCACACACACACTTTTTCGTGATGAGAAACCAAAAAAATGCGGATTTCGAGGTATTTATCGAACTTCTCAACCAACAAAATGAATTTAATAGCACTGAATAATAGAGAAAAAAAGTGCAAAAGCTTAAAATGCGGCGTTTTGATGCATGTAATTGCTTTGATGTAAGTAAAGATGTACATCTGTATCATGAACAGCACCCCCTTGTATAATGTGGTCTCCAGCTCCCACCCCCACCCCTTCGGATTTCACTTAAAAGGAACTTATGTAGATAAGTTATGTAGCTTATGTAGAACTTATCGCTGCGCGAACGTCTATAAGGTTGCATGCAGATACGTGCTTGTCTTTTCAAACAATGCACGAAACGGTTCTTCTTTGCTTCTGTCAGCCTTTATATTTGAAAGATAGAACAGCATATGAGTTATCGAGTGATAACTAAGGGCCTTAGGCCTTAGGGGTAATTAAAGTTAGGATTTTTGTGTGCCCAAGTCTGTAAGAATGTCTCCCTATGGGGAACCGAAGTGTGACGTCATTTAGAACCAGAATATGTAGTGCAAACCATAGTGCAAACGAACGGTGTAAAAAACACAAATTTCAGTGTCGAAATCGTCGAATGCAATATGGTCAGATACTGTCCAATATTATTATACGAGCCCTTTTTCACGAAAATGGCGTCACGGTCGTCACCCATAACATTTAAAAACCAGACGTTGATTAAGAGTATGCTAACGTCTAAAAGTGCATTTTTCCGTTCCCTTTTTTTCCTGGTCAGTTAAAAAAAACCATTACTTTACCTTTGCTTGCCTGCTTAAGATTTGAGGAGGTCGAAAATTCTCCATACAGTGGCTTGCGATGCACCGTGGCGATGCCATAGCTGCGTATGTCTTGTACCCGGGGGTCACACACTCAAGTTCAGCTGGGTCATCTGCCAGCGCCGTCTCCAGCCCAATGTTCATGAAAGTGCGGTCGAAATTGCCCTTCCCATCGTGAAGGATATATTGGACTATTTCCCCCACCCAGTGAGTGCCTTTTATGGAATAGAAAAATCGGTGAACAGAGGTTTTAGTGCCGTACTAGTTCACAAAACCGAATTGATTGTGGCTGTAAGAAAAACACAACAAAGACAGCAACCAATAGAATTTATGTATTTATTTTACATCTTGATAATAATTATTTACAAGGTGTCTGTTGGGATTTTTTTTAGAAATCCAAACAGCATGAAAGGGGACAAAAGGGTCATCGGTTTTCACTAGAATGATTGGTTTAGTAAATGCGCCTTCCCCATTAATTAATTTTGGAAAGTGGGCAGATCTCTGATTTAGTAGAAATTTTTGAATTTTAGTTTGGTTTGTACGAAACGTTCTCCATTCGAATATTGGCCGTAGGAAGGATAGAGATTTGCAACGGTAATAAGAATTGCAGCTTGTAAAAGTTAAGGAATTTCAGTCAGTACTTTCAGATAATGTCCAATATATGGAAGCAAAAGCAAAATTGAAACATGGGCAAATTGGTTGCCGGGCTAAAATGTTCAAGTTTAGTCTCAGAAATTGCGAAATTGGACAATTCGGAAAACTCTTTCAGAACTTCAAACCTACATAATCGTGTCGATGAACAGGTAGGGCCTAATTATAAAATCATATTTCCCACTGAGAAAACAAAAAAAAGTTGAGACAAAAAGATCTAAAACCCATTTGGTAACGTATCTCACATGCAATGAGACCAGGGGCGGATCTAGCTTTCATGAGACGGAGGGGGGGGGGGTTGATTATAAATAATTGGAAATACACAGTTCAAAAACACTGTCGTGTAAGTTTAATTAAACAACATAGCTATTTCTGCATCTCGAAGGTATTATGTCGAGTGTGTCGGAGGGACAGGTGGCGACAGCGCAGGCTTATCAATCCTTCAATGGCCTACCTGATCTTGGGTAGGTGAAGACGTACACGTCGTCATCGCGCACTTCAAAAGTCTTCAGGGCTTCCAGATTGGACCGCGACGCGAAAAACGGGAACTTGATCCCATTCACGACATGGCAGCCCGTCTGCTTGTCACGTTCCGCCAGCTCCTCCTCCAGTTGTTGGTGCGTTTTCCCGTTAATCAAGTCCGGCATCAACGCCTGGATTTGTTCGGCAACGCTCATGATGGCGGCAGGGACAGAACACCAGTACAGACGGTTGGCTTGGCCTACCAGTATCTATTCGATCATGTTCTTTATGCGTACTGAAATAAAGCTGCATGACTTTTTACAGTACGTTGTTACTGTACATACCCATCATCAACCCTTCCTGAACATTGAATTCTGTCAAGCATTGCAGTTCCGCCAGATTGCGTGAGTTCAGAATGACCTTTGAGCGTAGTCCCATGGACCTGTAGACTTGACTTCAAGTCGGTAATTGGCCGGTTTTTTTTTTCACGCACACTGCGCGATATGCATGCATGGAAAGATATTACACATACCGCGAGTAAATGCTAAAACAAATTGGTAGTAAATGCAATTGCCAGTTTTTATTAATATGAACTATGGTATTATTTGTACTTAATGAAATTTGTTAATATTAATTTTTCGCGATTAACATTAATAAATGCGGTACTTTTTGCGCAAAATTGTGTTCTTTTATATTTTCAAGGTAGCCCCAACCCAGCCTTGAAATATGACAAATAAATATTTGAAATCTGAAGCATTTACTCCTTTTTATTCATATGAAACGAGGTAAACGCTTATAGTGTAGCAAAAGCTAAAGGTAAAAAGTAATTATTTTCAGATTTTGGCGTAGGTTTTTAGTAAAGGCGTTTGCTTAATTTTCATTCATACACATGCAAATGCTTAAAAATGTTTATAAAAGCAAATGCCATGTTTATTCATACGAACATGGTATCATTAAGTACTTTATGAACTTTGTTAATATTATAATAAAAAAATTCTCGATTAACATTAATAAATGCAGTAATTTTTACGCAGAATTATGTGCTTTATAATTTCACGGTTGCCCCAACCCAGCCTTGAAAATGACATGTGCATAATATTTGAAATCTGAAGCATTTACTCCTTTTTATATACGAAACCTGTTGCAGAAACCTGTTCAGGCATTATCGCAACGGAGTATAGGTACTCAAGGCACTGGGAGTTATGTCTATTATTAGATGAATGAAGTACATGAGTTATATGAGACCCATTATGTAGCACCTTTTAAGGGTTTACAAGGTGCTGCGGCCACTGCCAGGACACCGGGGCGAACCCCTTCTCTTAGCGACAAGTGTTACTGGGTTCTCTAACGTGCATTCGACAACACACGGGACCTACGGCTTTACGTCCCATCCGATGGACCAAGCAAGAATGGTTAAGTGCCTTTCTTAAGGGCACAAGTGTCCGCCAGCGGGCTCGAACCCACGTCACTGTTGCCTCTGAAACACCAGAACATGAGTCCGGTGCTCTTAACCGCTAGGCCATGACACTCCATTTCGTCTTTCAAGTAAACGATTATTAAATTATTTATTTATTTCTGGTAATGAAACCAAGGATCCCTCAAAAGTGCATGCCCCAGGCACTGTAGCTCGAAAACCTGAGGAAGCCTGTGGAGAAAGACAATGAGAAGAAATTACAGTTTTACAATCCACATAGACCAGGGTGCCGATGCACAGCGCATTGTGCACGTAAACGGCGTTGCGTTCGTCACGTTTGGCGCGCGTTTTTTTTGTATATGTGCTCCAGCACGTGACCCTCCAGGTAAGGTCGCGTGTATGCATGCGCTGCCGATCTAGTGAATATCGGGAACCAATTTCATGGAACCCGTAACGGTTAGCGAGAAATCGCCACTAACTATAGCGGAAAATTCTGCGCTAACGGTTAGCGTATTTCACGGGTTAGCAAGGAATTTTGGCTTGTGCGCATGTGTACTTCCCGTAACTAAGGATTCTGTGCTTACAAGGTTAGCGCAGAATTTTTGTGCTAGCTCGGTTAGCACAAAATTGCGGGCCGTTAGCACAAAATTTCGGCGTTACGGATTCCATGAAATTGGGCCCAGCAGATCCTCAGTCTAGGGATTTCATTGGTCCTTTACACTAAGATTTCAAAGGTGGTCATTGAAATGGGACTTGAGTTCCATCCACAAAAGAAAGTTGCGTCTATACTTGCAGTGAAGGTGGGTTTAATTTTAGCCCCATCAAAAGTACACATACAGTTTTCTAAAATCGGCATAGCTTTGTATTTTGTGTTAATGTTTGGGGATATTTTCTGGTGTGTCTGTTTCAGGTATTTTTCGTTCAAATGCGGGATACATAATTATTAATTAACTCAAAATACTCCAATTGTTAATTGCGATTTCATTGTCACTCCCTATTACTCAGGTATGTTTTCATATTTACTATTCATAAATACCTCAGACAGTTTAGCTATTCCTATTGGTCGAGAGCCCGTCACGTGGCCGGTCTTAAACGGATGATAAAGACATGGCTAGCTGGTCTTAAACACTTTTCCAGTGTCACAATAAAATGTGGACTCCTAAAAATCCAGTGCCTCTTACCGTTTCATTGGTTGAACGTTCCCAATCCTCACGTAGGCATGCGCAACACTACAAGCGAGTCAGAATTTTATAGTTCTAAATTCAAAACGCAACGCCCCAGGTGCGTTCTGCGTGACATCGCGCAGAACATGTTACGCACGCGTCAATCTCCATAAAAGGGTTGTTTACATCTTACTCGCCAGCTGAACACTCCATTATTTTGCTAGAGGGATGTTTCAAAAAGCATGAAGTGAACTTGTTGAACAAAATCGGGATTTTTTTAACGAATTATTTGATATTTTTTTACGGATAAGGTATTTATGAATGGGAATAAATATGTGCTCGGTCGGTATTTATCACTCTGTTTAATACCGCTTAGAGTCTGGGTGCTGATAATTACCCTCGCCTCCGGCTCGGGTAATTATCAGCACCCAGACTCTAAGCGGTATTAAACGAGTGATAAAAACCTCCGGAGCACACATTTATTCCCTTATTAAAAGTAAAAACCATCAGCACTGAAACAACTAAATGATAGCAAGATAATTATTTCAAATAATTCAGAAGTAAAATGTTCCCATCAAGAACTAGTCTTGGTTCCAAGACCTTTGGTTGTTTTGTTTTTCTTGCATTTTGTTTTCTCGCCATAGTTATTTACACGCCCACGAACGCGGCGCGGATGTTATTTAATTATAATCGATTCCATAATGTTTTGTAATGGATTACGTTGTTTAATGGGTATCGATTCCGTCGGACTTGCATTCGATTTTGGACTTCCACGAAGTACCGTCGTCAGACAGCCATCTCGTCCTGTAAATTGCGCCCTCTGTTGATGAAATATATTTTTAGTAAGAAAGTGTACATGTTCATGCGTGAAAACTCCAGGTAGTGACGTCTTGGACAAACACTAATCAAGAATGCATTTGATTTACTTTGCTAATTCCACAGTCAGTGGAGTAATTGGGATTTAATTTGCTGGGATACTGGGGGTCAAGGGGCCCATTTTCTAGTGCCTGTTACGGGTTTTAAAAGCTCGTTTTAAATTTAAGCTAATGTTTGTAATTATTAGAATCCCACTCTCGCAAAAAATGGTCCGGTTAACTTATTCTTTATGATGAGACTTGCGGTTTTGCCGAAGTCAATTGAGTGTGATCGGCTGACTGATAAGGTTTACGCACAAAACCCCAGGCCAATGAGGTTTTTGTATAGAAAGGTGGCCTACCATTTTTTGCGAAAGTGTGCTGGTAATGGTTGAGCCTGCATGCTCAGTGGCATCCCTTCATTTTCTCGCGCAAAAAGGATCCATTTTTTGACCCTAATTTATCAAATCTGCTCTTACATAATAGCACAATAGCTAGGAAGATGATCCTCTGCTATGTTCGCACGATTCCACCGATTTTTAAACTAGACGGTCTCGTTTTTTGCATTTTTTGCATTTTTGCAAAAAAAAATGTGGGGTCAGTTTTGATGCAAATGACTCGAGTATACATTTTTGAAACCCTAATCACTCGCGAATTTATTGCGCCCAGTGTCGGTCTTATTGTGCCATTCGGATATATCGTCTGTCTAGCCCCCCACCTCACTCCCCACCCCACCCCCCCCCCCCCCCCACCCACCCCCCCACCACCACCACCACCACACCGAAAAATAATAGTAATAAAATACTGTTTAAAAATGTGCTCGTTTATTCAGAAATTCATGAAGCATAATATCCAAACTGATTGGATGTTTTCAACGTGTCTGTCCCATTTGCAAAAATTCTTTTTAAAAGCCCACTATAGCATTAGAATCACACTCTCGGAAAATAAATGGTCCGGTTAACTTATTCTTTATGATGGGACATGCGGTTTTGGCGAAGTCAATTGAGTGTGATCAGCTGACTGATAAGGTTTACGCACAAAACCCCCGGCCAATGAGGTTTTGTACAGAAAGGTGGCCGAACCACTTTTTTTGCGAAAGTGTGCTGGTAATGTGGGCACAAGGCCAGGGGGAAGCACAGGCCTCCAAGGGAGTGGGAGCTGGGGTGTGCCCCTCCACCTTTAGTTACGCCACTGTAGTTTTCATGTCTTATCATATTTTCGATTTTGAATATGTATCTACTGATAGTTAGGAGCATGTTTACAACCGAGAATGTATTATAATTATTTTTACAATACGGCAAATCATGAGTTTGCAGGTTCAAGCCCTGCTGTGGTCAATTTTTCTTTGTTCAACGTTAACATAAAAATAATGCACCTAGCCAGTTTGCCTATGTGGTTTCTTTGGCAAAACAATAATTTATTATACTGGGACTAGAAATTGATTTAATATATCTCGCATTTATCTGGAGAAACTGAAGGCAATAAGATTATATGCTGTAGTATAAAAGCTATAGTGCAGCCCGTCCCACAAGCTGAAAAAGCCTGTGGTGAATAGATGTAGTATCTCTAATTCAACAGAAATAATAAATATTTAGGCTATTAATTTGGTGAAGCTCTACGGAACGGAATACAGAGAGGCAGTATATCTAATAGTATAGTGAAGCCCAATTCACATCGGGGCTCTCAAAGCTCAAAGTCAAAATCCAAGCCGGTCCCTTCCATCTTTAGGACGTAGATCTTGTCAAAGAGGGCGCTCTGTGCCAGCGTGAAAGTGTTCTTCCAATTGCCGACATTTCCTGTTGCGGCAAATAAAATAAAAGGTGAAAAGAACTGTTAAATCAATGATAATACACTCCTGGTGAAATACTCTGTACAATGTTCCACTGCATTAGCTAATAAAGATTTCTTCTTGTCATTTGGCAACATTTCCGATTCTCGCAGAATCATTTGGAAATGTCAAAAAACTAAGTTCTAATCCTGGGTCGGGAATGTCAACTGTCTTCTTTTTTTTTACTTCGGTGAGAGGAAAGGTCCGCAAGAAACAAAGCAACACGGGCAGTCTTGTTCTAAATTGAGTAGTATATGAAAGATGGGAAGGAAAATTTAGAAACGGGGATCTATTACAAAAGATCTGAAACAAAAACATAACTAAAAATCGATGAAATATCACAACCACACCACACCTTGTCTGAGATACGGAAACACTCCTCGGTAACGCGTCATGCGTTTCCCCTCCTCCCCGCGTTCTTCCTCAATCTGTTGATAAGTCTTCTGCATCCCACCAAAGGTCACTCGCTCCAGGATGTCATCGATGACGTCATCGGGTAGATCCTTCCCGACATGCTGAGCTAGTTTGCAAATGGATCCCCTGAGGTCCTGAATAATATAGGAGTAAAAAACAAGGCGAAGTGGCATTTTGTGAAGCGTTTGCCTCAGTTATACATCTATAGTTCTGACTAATTTCCCATACGTTTTTTCATTTCAATTCATATAATCGCCACGTGTTGGTGAATATTATATTCGTGAATTAAACTCCTTATTATCTTGTGCACAATACAGGGAATAAATGTCTGCTCGGCCTTTTCGGTGAAACAGTCAAAACAAGTGAACAATTATTAATTTTCCAACGATTTTGTTCAACAAGTTCATGTTTTTTTTAAACACCCCTCTGGATATGTTACGGTACATGCCTCTCGCGAGTAGTCGTAAACACCTCCTTATATCGAGATTGGCGAAGAACGCAGCTGTACCTGCGTAGTATGAATTTAAGGTTATGAAATACGGACTCATTGGTAATATTGCGCAGGCCTAACTGAAAATTGTGAACGTTCAACCAAAATAAGGGTAAAAAGGGACCGGATTTCATAGGAGTCCAACATTTCATGTGACACTGGAAAAGTGTTTAAGAACAGCCATCCGGGTGTTTTGAATCGTTTAAGACTGACCACGTGACGGGCTCTCGACCAAAAGGAATGGGCAAACTGTCTAAGGAATTTATGAATGGCCAACAATAACACAGTGATTATTGCATTAAAGGCCTAATAATTATAATAACAATAGCGGATGTAATGAAAGTGACAGCTCTTTTAACACTTTGTTACAGCTGATTATTAAACGCATCCACTCCTCAATCATAGTTATTACACTGTATACATTGATCTTGTCCAATGCATGACGCAGAGCTCTGAGCTAGCTGCAGGACACGAAGCTCATAGCCTTATCGCACTATCTGTTTGTTTGAGTCCAGGGGAGTCAGGTTGGCGTAGCGGTATCGCCTCCAACCGCTGTGACCCGGGTTCGAATCATGCACCAGTCGCAGATCCAGAGATGGGGTTTTGGGGGTCGACCCCCCCCCCCCCCTGCTCTGATACCAAAATAACATTATAACATTTACAGTAATAATGTCCGCAACAATCGGACATAAAAAAATCTGACGGCCATGAACCCCCCCCCCCTTCCCACTTGCAGGAATTCCTGAAACCGCCCTGTGCACCAAGCATAAGGCTTTCTGAACGTATATTTCTGAACTTTCAATGCGCGACGGAGAGACAGTTTGTGATTCAACATTACGAACCTTGTGGAGATCCTCGTACTTTATAAACTGAAAATTCTCCTTGTCCCGGTGGTTGAGCACGTGATCAAACCAAGAACCGAGATGCACTGGAGGAATGAACAAACAAACAATCAATTGAACAACCCCACAAACAAACAAACACCATAACAAATGGCAGAAGTTCATACATTATTTGGGGACTGTTTTTGCAGTCCAATAAATTAAGGCAGTCAATGTTTGCGAACAATAGAACTGACTTAAACAAAATTTATAGGTTCTCGGTTTCTGCCGTGAAAAAAAATGATAAAAGTGAAGATGTACAAGGAAAGATGTTGATTTGAATTATCTAATATCGACTACATTTAATTTTGCTTTGCATTAAAACTTACTTTTCCCGTGGCAAAATGCCCAGAACATCTCATCAAACTTCCAATGTGCTCCCATTTCGAATAAAGAAACCAGCATATCCTTTGGGTTTCGGGCCACGTACACCACCTTAAAACAAACAAACAAACAAACAGCCAAACTTTTTTTGCATCCTCTGTAAAGCCATTTACCGTAATACGCAGCGTAAAACATATTACGTTAACTATTATGTCACTGTCAACTAAATATGTTGGTGTAACCTTTCTAGCTTTTTTTTTCTTTCTCAGACTCCTCTCCATAGGTTTTGTACTCGTTTTCTTCTACCCATACAGACTTAGACCTCCGCCTGAAGATGGCCTGAAACGATTTTCGTAACGATGACGTCATCAGGTGAAACGTGACGTCATATAAAAGGTATTTTTTCGAATCGTACATAACTTCGGAAGTACCAGTCCGATTTGGTTGAAACTTGGTATGTACACAAAGACAGGGATGTGTTACAGGTGAAAATTGAAGTAACGGCATCACATGACTGTGACGTCACATTATCATGCATTTTCAAATGTGTACATCTACTGTACTATAGGTCCCATTTGGTTATATATTGATATCTACTTATATCGGGATGTATTATGGATGACATTTTATTGACCTCATCATACCATCATTACATGTCATGTGACGTCACATTAAAGGTGCATTTTCCTTAGGCCTATACTGAGAAACTTTAGGTCCGATTTGGTTGTAACTTGATGTGTACGTATACAAGGGTGTATTATAGATACAATTTCAAGTGACGTCATCATGGTGTCCTCCTGACGTCCTGAAAAGTCATTTGAGTCACATTTAAGGTGCCACTATATACTCCTGATTTCATCGTAGCTTTGTATATAACCTAAACCTGCATGTGTCAGAGATGAAATTTGAAGTCACGTCATCACATATCACAGAGCCATTATATTCAGCCAAAACAGCTGGTGTTGTCCACAAACACATTTCTAGTTTTTGATATCTTTTCCCTCATTTTGTATGACTTAATTGACTATTGAATAACATATTACCTTTGCTCGCTTAGTCAAGATCTGAGGAGGTCGAAAACTATCCAAGCAGTGGCTGAAGATACACCGTGGCGATGCCATACCTGCGTACGCCTTGTACCCGGGGGCCACACTCTCAAGGTGTGTCGGGTCATCTGTCATCGTCATCTCCAAAGCGTTGGTCATGAATGTGCGGTCAAAATCGCCCTTCACATCTTGAAGGATACACTGCAGTATTTCACACACCCAGTGAGTGCCTATCAGTGAATAAAACTAGGTCAACTGAGTTTTGCGTGTTTACCAGTAAACAAAACTAAATCGAATTTTATAGAAATGTAATTTATAGTGTAGGCTCATCAATCCTTACCTGATCTTGGGTAGGTGAAGACGTATACGTCGTCATTGCGCACTTCAAAAGTCCTGAGGGCTTCCAGATTGGACCGCGATATGGTCCAGGGGAACTTGGTTCCGTTCACGACATGGCAGCCCGTCTGCTTGTCGCTAACTGCCAACTCCTCCTCCAGTTGTTGGTGCGTTTTCCCGTTGATCAAGTCCGGCATCAACGCCTGGATTCGTTCGGCAACGCTCATGGTGGCCGCAAGGCGACGAACACCAGTGCCGTGTGATCAGCTTTGGCGTTAAGGCTGACCCAAGGCAGGATTTTAAGGCTTAGGGCAAAAGATTTGGCCTTAGTCAATGTTCTCCAAGCCAGATTATTTTTATATTCTAGATCAATTGTATGTAAGGTTTGTTTGAATATGTGCTGTTTGCAAAGATCTATCCGATATGTGTATCATGTGAAAACACTCAAACTCTTTTCTTACGCGAACTGTGATCTATCTTTTTTCTTAACTCGTCAGAATATCTGCCGAAATAAAGAGAGACACACGACTCACACGATGAGGTTGTCTGTTGTTTTAAAGGGAAGCAGTAGTTTGGCTTTATAAGCAACCGTCAGATTGGTCTGAGATGCGGGTACTTCCGGCTGGCGTATCTACTATCTGAGGTCAGGATTTAAATCGTTATATGAAGCAAAAACTGACCCATTGTGTTTGATTTAAAAGTTAAAAAAAACACCTGTCTGTTTTGATGGCCTCATGAACGGCAGTATAGTGCGCAGTTAATTGCAACATTGGTATTGGTAACCTTGTTGTGGGCAATTAATTTTTTTATCAGGGTATGAGTGAACATTTTCTCAATTCGAATGCACGGTGATATTGCACCATTGCGACCTATTTCAATGAAACGTGATTCACCCTAACTGACCAGTATTGTTTCACCTAAAAAAAATACGAGGTCGTGTCAAGATCCGTTGAATACCCGCATGAAACATTAACAAAACATTATAAGTGCTAGTCAAAACAGCGGCGGGCTAGTCAAGCTGTTCCTTAACTAGAGCGGCTGGCGAGTGAAAAATTATTGGGATACGGCAAAGATGAACGTACAGGAAGAAACGAATCATTAAATTCAGAAAGAAAACCCCATCAATTTGCGTCTAAATTTATCAACTGTTTTAAAGGGTTAAATTATTAGATCTGTTAATCAAAAACACTGACAAAATTGCCTCAGAATTGAGCCTGAAAATACGTCATTTTGTATTTGACTTAAGGAAAAAAATGCGGGCTAGTGAAAATGCCCGCGGGCTAGTTAAGAGTCTGTTTCAGTAGCCCGGCTGGCTAGTGAACAAAAAAGTTAAGGTCAAACCCTGGGTAAAGATTGCCCTTTTCCATTCAAATGCCCTTTTATACCATCGTTCCCCCCCCCCCCCCCCCCAATATTTGTTAAGAGTGCCCTTCTTTTGTAAAAAAGTGACTTTTTTCGGAAAAAAGTGCTTTTATTCGGAAAAAAAGTGCCTTTTTTTTTCGAAAAAAGTGCCCTTTTTGAGAAAAAGTTGTGCCCTGTTTGTGGAAGGCGGCCGTTGGGGGTGTTGTTTTTTTTATGTGTTTTTCGCGCATGCCCTGAACACCACCATATATTGTCTGTGATGGTGCATAAATCGACATTTTTCAAGTGAACAGCACCCACATCGACAGATGGTACCAGCAAACGGAGAATATAATAGTATAATTAACAAAAACATCAATTGATTATACCCTGAATCTTACCTGCACATACCGGATCTTTATTTGCTACTTTCTCACTACATGTAATCACTTCTCTAAAAAAAAAACACGTCTGATTAAAAAAAGACATGGTTTCCAGCACCTTAATGACCTTATATTCCATCCCATCAAATTCTGAACACATAAAGTAGGATTACTGAGGGTGAACAGTGGACATCTGTTAATATTCTACTGTCAATACCGTAGCAGAGAAGCAGATTGAACGTGTTGGAGGTTCAATTTGTTTTAACTTTTCTGCTAGCTGAAATGCAGGTTTCACATGACTTCAATTTCACCGAAAAAAGGCACACCAAAATTGCACTTCTTTTTCCAAAGGTTGTAAAAACTATGGTCATTAGAATTGAAAGGAGACCGTCAGTTTCGAATGTTAATAACACATAAAGGACCAAAACAAAAAAAAGCAGAGGGGTCCGTAAACACACAATCACCCTATTTTGCTGCGATCTGTACAGTGGTCGCTTGGAAGTAAAGGGCCTCTTTTCAGCCACCTGCGTGTAAGTGTACAATCTGCTTTTCCGGAAGCTGAAAAGTTGTTGAACTTGTATTTTGATACTAGGCCGTCAAGTGTATAGGAATGTTCTGCTGGACACTTTGTTTTTTTAATACCAGCGATTCGTGATGATGTAAGTAGCTTTATGTTAACTGTCAAATTGTATTGACGAATTGTAAATTGGCACTAAAAACGAGGACCTCAGCGCTGTCCTTTGTTGCGAGTTTTAAAAAGAAAAGGTCTTCAATGTCATACTGAACCCCAACATCAACCCTGTGTGATTGTAATCTTCAGTCTAGCGCAGGGTGACCGTAAGGTCATGGCCAAATTCTGCTAAAGGCACTGCAAAAGCTGTCAGATTTATCAAAAATCTGCCAAATTTCCTTGAATTACTCGAAATACACTATAAACACTTATTATCACATGCAGATTTGTAGTATTGCCTTAATTAAGGTTCAAATTACATTATAAACAATCTATAGTCACACCAAGATGTTATGAAATTATTGCTTAAATTTCTGGCAAAACTTGGTTGCGTCAAGACAAAGTCCGGTTCCCAGTGAACCTCAGCACCTAGACAAGCCAACCTGTCCCATTATGCAAGAATTTGTTTGAAAAGATTGAAGCTTTTTTAAACAAATGTACCATTTTTTTCAAATTTGCTATGTTTTTCTGCCAAATAACCATTTTTGTAGAATTCTGCCAGAAATCTGCCAAAAATATCCGTCAAACCTTTCCGTCAAACTCGTTTTTTTAACAAAAAATCTTTCAAAGTTAGCCGAAAATCGGCTAAAACGGTCACCCTGGTCTAACGTTCCATCAGATTTTGCCAGTCACTGTGAATGTGACCTTCGAGCTATGTCGAGACATGACAACAAAGGTAGTGTCACCTATGTTATGGTCCCCCCCCCCCTCACCAGATTTACCCAAGTGTCCCTTTTGCGGACATAAAAATGCCCCCTCGAGCCAAAATGTGCCCCCCGAGATGAAAACAAAACTGGCCCTAAAATTGCAGATAATTTTATTCATTAACCTTTTTCCAAAATGGTATAGAGATTTCTGATATGAACGAGGAATATGAAAACCGAGCCCCAAAACCCTAATGCGTAGTTTGCATAATGGCTGGTTTTGAAGAGCGCCCCCTATTTTAGAAGACATTCCTATGGGTGCCAGTGAAAGAAGTATGATTGGATCCCATGCAATGGGACTCGAGTTCCACAAAAGAAGGTCGCATCTACATGCAGTGAGTATGGGTTCAAATAGCCCTATAAAAAAGAAACTTGGTCTAGACACACAGTAGATCTAAAAATAGCAGACATCATGAAATATCAAAGATTGCGGCCATATCCGTATTAATGGTGTTTTAATTAGATTTCTTTGTATCAACATATGGGTTTTTGATGTCAATACTATCCTGGAAGAAATGACGCCGGCAAGAGACGTGATTGTGTTGTCTGCAGTATTATAAGAGAAGACAAACGCACATGACATGTAAACAGTGTAATAAGCCAATGTGTGTTATTCTGTGCTAAGTTGAGAATTGTCACAGCCAATGATAAGTACAAGTACTTTTGATTCCGGTCTCTCCCCGCTTTCAGTGTTGATGATGATGCACGAACCACCCAAGTCAACTTTCCAACATTATAGGGTGCACAGACCTAATTCAAGCGAGAATTTCTACGCCAGCTGATTAGCATAAAAAGTGCCCCCACAATTTCTTTTGAAAACGGAGACCGTTTGGCTTTAAAAACGGTGGAATTGTTTAAATATACCCAAGGATCAACTCCCTGGTTTTGGGGCTTCCACCTGAGGGCAGGCTTGATAAAATCACGGATGAAAAAATGGGTCCTATTTGCCTGTGAAAGTGGAAGGGTGCCACTCTTAAAATGGCTACATGCAGGCTCGGGAACTATCACTTTTCGGGAGGTGATTTTATTTGGGTGTGAATATTTAAAAATGTAATTGGCTAATGTACGTAAAATTTAAAAGAAATGAAAAGATGAAAGACAAGACAATAATTTCATTTTTGTTTCAGAAACCCCACCGAATTGGGGGCAGATGGGGGATGGCGATGCATTGTCAGCTTCGTATCATCTTTAACTGCATCCAAATTGAACTCATATTACAACTTTGTGCACTGATAAGACTGATTAATAACTGAAACCCCCAAGGAGCGTTAAATACCTTTTCATATATAGGCCAAGATAATTGCACTATATTATTTGTTTTTGTACAGTTCTTTTAATGGATCTGAGAGTAATTGATATCACACCACATGTTAATAATATAAAAATTGCCTTTCATTAATGGCTTGTGAGGGCGCTTTACACTAAAAGTTGTCAAAAAGCCTGCGGTAAACAACTGGTCATTTCAGTACCTTGAGTGTGATAACCAAAGATGAGTGACAAACATCTAATGGTACTGAACGGGTTATTTATCTACTGAAAGGTATGAGCACATGTTAGCGCTCTGACAACTTAAAATGTATTATTATATTTTGACAAGACATGTAGTATCTATAACTCAACAGAATGTATAATTGTATAGGCTATTAATTTAACTGGTGAAGCTCTACAGAACCAAATACAGAGAGGCAGTATATGCCGAAGTACACAAGTTGGTCCAGCCCGTCCCACAATGGGGCTCTCAAAGCTCAAAGTCGAAATCCAAGCCGGTCCCTTCCATCCTCAGGGCGTAGATCTTGTCGAAGAGGGCGCTCTGTGCCACCGTGAAAGTGTTCTTCCAGTTGCCGACTTTTCCTGTCACGGAAAATACAACTTGTTAAATCAAGTCACAACACACTCCTGGTGAAATACTCCGTACAATATTCCACTTGTCATTCCACAAGCATTCTTCTTGTCATTTGGCAACATTTCTGTTTCTTGCAGAATCATTAGAGATGTCAAAAAGCCGAGTTTCTAATCCTGGCAGAAACTTATAATACCTTACTGCTGGGTCGGGAATGTCCACTGTCTTTTTTATTTTTTACTTGGTTGAGAGGAAGGGGTGCAAGAAACAAAGCAACGCGACAGTTTTATTCTAAATTGAGTAGTATATGAAAGATGGGGAGGAACATTTAGGAATAGGGAACCATTGAAAGAAAGAAAAAAAACATAAAAATCAATGGATGAACACAATCACACCACACCTCGTCTAAGATGCGGATTTCCCTGGTAGCGCGTCATGCGTTGCCCCTCCTCCCCGCGTTCTTCCTCAAGTTGTTGATAAGTCTTCTGCATCCCACCAAAGGTCACACGCTCCAGGATGTCATCGATGACGTCATCGGATAGATCCTTCCCGACATGCTTAGCTAGTTTGCAAATGGAGCCCCTGAGGTCCTGAGCATTAGGAGTGAAACAAAGAAGGAAAGTGGAGTTTCGTGAAGTGTTTGCCTCAGTTATCTATCTATAGTGCTGAACATATTTCCCATACGGTTTTGTATAAACTATAGGTTCCATTGTTGTGCGAATATTCGTGAAACGAACTCTTTGAACATAATACCAATGGCCATATAATAACACAGTGATTATTGCATTATTGGCCTAACAATTAATGATAATGGCAATAGACCTTTCTCATGGTACTCCATCATGAAAATAGAAGCGATGCATATAGGGTGCAACCCTGTATTAAAATTATGCGGCCTTCTGTATATCAATGCAAAGGCGCGTATAGACCAAAATTACCAACCTTGTGGAGATCTTCGTACTTTACAAACAGAAAATGTTCCTTGTCCCGCTGGTTCCAATAGCTCAGCACGTGATCAAACCAAGATCCCATTAACACTGGAGATACACGGAGGAACAGACACACCAATAAACAATCAACCCCAACAAACAACCCCAAACAAACGGCAGAAGTCAATACATTATTTAGATACAGGCTCTGTTTTTGCAGTTCAAGTGACCAAAAAAATTAAAAAGTGAAAATGAACAGGGAAACATAGTGATTTGTATTATCTGATATCGGTTTCAGTGAGTTGTTATTATATTGGCATTTTCTGGGTTTGGGTCGACATGCTTTTTATGTTATTTTTACCTTAACCCTGCGCAGAGTGACATGTGCACCTGTGGTGCACATGTCACCGATTTTTTTGAATAAAAAAAAATTGAGGGCCAATGACGGTCACCTTCCATCTAATCCTCATTCAACCCTTGCCAAATAAGCTGGTTCAATGAACTTTGCAGCCAGGGCTTTACCAAGGCCGTGTCAACAAACTTTCGACCAGGCCTCCTGCCAAGTCCCATTGAAACATATACAAACACCTGTAACTTGACACAGCCATCTCCCTTCATAGCCGCAAACCACCCCCATAGCCGTCAATTAGCTTTTAAGTGCACTGTCTGACAACTTGCTGGACACTGTCTGACACGTGGCTTTTTCTTGATTTGACATGAATAGGGTCTTGCGTAGTGCGGGGAAGTACCTGTGGCCCAAAGGGCCACTGTTGGCGAGTTCTGATAAACATTTTTTGTAAACGCTGCGCAGGGTAGGGCGACACACCTTTTTAGGGCGACAGCAGTTCTGTCGCTCTGTTCTTTAAACCACCATTATGACGAGGGCTTGGGCCAGGGTTTATGGTTAGGGGTTATAAGGGTTAGGGTTAGGGTTATAAGTTTTGTGCACAAGTCCATGGATGTGCCGAACTCGTGTGGTTGTGTAAATTTACAGAATCTCGCAAACGGGCGGCAGTTTCTTCAAGCCGCGTCTGGATTAGGGCGACACGCCTTGGTGTCACCCTATTGTTAAAAACGACCCTTACGCCAAGGAACTGTATCGTTGCTAACCATCTTGTTCGATTCCTCTTGGTACAATTAGTAACAATACCGAATTTCGTGGAAAAAGGATAAGGTAAACTTGGGTTAGGTGACAGTTTATGTTTGTGCACAAGCCTATAGGAAAGTCGTCCGATTAAAGCATTAGTAGAAAATATTATTATTATTTTTATCATTAAACAAATCAGGTTAAATGGGAAAAGTGCAAGCATATAAGTTGCTTCTCAGCAACTCCCAAACACCTGTAGCGTCTAAAGAAGGAAACGTGAAACAATCCAGAGACAACAATAGAAGGGAAAAAAATAGAGTAACAAATAATAAGTAAATGTTAATTGCTGCGTTGCACTAAACTTACTTTTCTCTTTGCAAAATGCCCAGAACATCTCATCAAACTTCCAATCTGATGTCATGTTGGATAAAGAAACGAGCATGTCCTTTGGATTTCGGGCCACGTACACCACCTTAACACAACAAAAAAACGAACAAAACAAATTACCCGCACCGTACATTGTACACTTACATATTGAGAATAATTTCATTTGGTGACAGATCGGAATGTTCCATTCCACCCGGCTTCTCTTCGTGGAATGGAACATTCCATCTGTTATCTAATGCAGATATTCTTACCATTGCACTCATAAAGACCAATACACACTGACCATTAGGTTTGGTAAGCGTAAAGGATATATAGCGGGATGTGTATGCTAGTGACATGTACATACGACAAAAAAAATGATGTGAAATGCACATCCACATAATTGGTTCGATGAAATAACCACACAAATAAAATGGTGGTTTAGGTAGCATTTTGTTTCTGAGCCTCTAATACGTCTTCGGATACTCCCATCATTACACATTGGGATGCTACCACGAAAATGCATGTGCTTCAACATGACGTGCACTTAGCTTTGGAAACGCTATAATAATGATACACGAAAACGTGTGCTTGGACAAAGAAGCGGTTGTCAGCTTTTATATGTGAAGGGATGAGCTAAGAGTTGTCGAAAAACAAATTTCAATGTCGATATCGTCCGGGCGCCATGCTTTCCCATTCAATGCATTAGGTGAGCTGAAGGCTATTGACCAATCAACAACCTTCATTTAGTTTGTCATGAAGATGGCGTCATCGGCAGTCAGGCTTAAAATATGAATTTTTGAACAATGCGTTAATGGTAGTGCTCATGCGCGGGGCAGGGAGCTGATACTTGCGTTTTCCTTTTATTTCTTTTAGTGTATTTTCTTCATTTTGTATCACTTCACTTGACAATGCAACAAACAAAAAACTTCACCTTTGCTTGCTTAGTTAAGATCTGAGGAGGTCGAAAACTCTCCAAGCAGTGGCTTAAGATGCACCGTGGCGATGCCATGGCTGCGTACATCTTGTACCCGGGGGTCACACTCTCAAGTTGAGTTGGGTCTTCTGCCATCGTCATCTCCAAAGCGTTGGTCATGAAAGAACGGTTGAAATCGCCCTTCCCATCGTGAAGGATATAATGCAGTATTTCACTCATCCAGTGAGTGCCTGTAATTGAATAAAACTAGGTCCACTGATTTTTGAGTGAACAATACACAGACTAAATCGATTTAGCTTGTTATAAAATAATACAGGGAGAGGAAGCAGTGAACATTATATAATCATTTAAAATTGAGACATGGCATCGTGTGTAAAAAGAAAAGACAGCAAACGTGTGCTTATTTACTGGATGACGAATAGGACTACATTATTGATAAACAAAAAAACAGAATCAGATAAAGATTTGTTTGTACACAAATTCTGTGACTCTAACACTTTTTCTGGCAAAGGTAACAACACATTTGCAGTCAAGAAATATGATTAGTCACAAAACACCTTAAGCCAGCAAATTGCGTTCGTCTACTGCATAAGGTAACTAAAGGAATGCAATAAATGTGTTCCATGACCAAAATTCAGCCCTTTTATGCAAAAGAATAATTCAGGCATGAACATTTCTGGAAGGGAAAAAATATTGACACTAAAATAGCATGGAGCTATAATAGCCACATCTTTTAACTTAAGCAAAGTTCCTAGTTGGAATCACTTTATACATGATTATTGGGTGGTCGCAAAAGGTATATTTAGAGTTGTCGAGTATACGACATGATATTCTAGTTACTCATTATATGTCAGTGTGTGGTCAAGGGCATGGAGCTAATTAACAATTGTTGACTGCTGTGGTGCGGGATATGACGATTTGAACACCCGAGGGACATCACATCAGTCAACAATTGTTTTGTTATACCTGAATTCTCTTGATTTTGCAAAAATCAAGAAAACAATCAGCAGTAAACACAGAAATCATGGAAATCGACAAATCGTCAACTGACATGCACGTGGCGTGCTCGAAACAGCTGATCGTCTGCTAGTTCGCTGCTCCCTCTCATGTGTAAAGACATGGTGAAAATTGCGTGGGTGTACCAACGATACAAGCGTTTCACACCATACGTACCGTACGCCAAGTTATAGCACACTCCCTGTGGGATATCACGCACATATGATATCCCATGACTTTTTACAAACTTAACAAGTGATCGTTCTGGGCCAATGAAAATACAGTATTCAAGACAGAGGTATAACAAAACCTTTTATAGCTCCATGGTCAGAGGAACAGGTCCAATATTTAATGTAGGCTATCAATCCTCACCTGATCTTGGGTAGGAAAAGACGTACACGTCGTCATCGCGCACTTCAAAAGTCCTCAGAGCTTCCAGATTGGACCGCGACACGAAACACGGGAACTTGATACCGTTGATGACATGGGCGCCCATCCCCTTGTCACGTTCCGCCAGCTCCCCCTCCAGTTGTTGGTGTGTTTTCCCGTTGATCAAGTCCGGCATCAACGCCTGGATTTGTTCGGCAACGCTCATGATGGCGGCAAGGCGACAATTCACTGGCATAAAATAGTTTGACTCGCTCACGCCGTATCCATAGTTTGCTTTTGAACGATCCCACTGAGGCCGATATTCGATACTGTTCGTGTAGGCTACCAAGTTGTAGCCTTCACAGGTTACAGTGTGCCGCACCCCATCATCAACCCTGCGTGATTGTTATCTTCTGTCAACAGCATTCCGCCAGATTTTGCCAGTCACCTTGAATGTGACCTTCGAGCTCTGTCCCATTCAGACATGAACAGGAGCGTAGCACTGTCATTTTTATTGGGGGGTAAAATTTTTGAAAAGGGCACTTGCACATCCGTTGTGAAATGTAGACAGGTCTTTTTCTTCGGACACTTGGCCTCCGTAAAATCAAAAAGCGGGGGGGGGTGGCTGGCTGGTACCATCTGTCGATGGGGGCGCTGTTAAAAAACGACAATTATGCACACAATGGGCCAATATATGGTGCTTTTCAGGGCGATACATGTGCGAAATTCAAAAAAAAAAAAAAAAAGGCACCCACAACGGCAGATGCCACAAAAAAGGGCACCACTTTTTTTTGAAAAGGACACGTGTTCAGAAAAAAAGGGCACTTCGTAAAAAAGGGCTCTCTTTAAACAATATTGGGGGGAAGGCATTTGAATGGAAAAAGGCAGTTTTTACAAAATATTGGGGGTGTGTAAATACCCCCCCCCCCGGCTACGCCTATGATGAATGTGACATGTTTGCTTCGCTATCCATCGTTTCCTCCGGTAAATAAATATAAACAAATTGCATACAGTGTCTCCGATTTGCGTTCCAAAATTCGAGTACAATGTGCTCTAAATTCGGTATAGCTTTAGAAGACTGTGTTAACGGTATCTTCTGGATCTGGTGTGCCAATGTAAGGCATTTTTTTTTCGAAAATAGAACTCAAAATGCCAGGTACTGCGATTTCATAGCACTCTCTTAGTCAGGTACGTTTTCATATTTAACTTAAAAACTAAAACAATCCGCACTAAAACAAAACTAAATGATAATAAAGAAGTATTTTTTTTAATATTTCAGAAAAGTAAAATCTACCCACCAAGAACGTATGTGATATGTTTTGCTAAGGCTCTTTCATACACAATTGAATGCTTACTGGGGTTTAATTGGGAGTGGGTACTTGGGATTTGGGGCTCACTTTCAATTGATTGCGTCATCAGACCGGAAGTAACAATAAAACGACCTCTAAACCTTGAAAATTTGCAAAAAATCAACCGTGATAGATATTACGATATTGCAGGGTCGTAATTTTCGGTATTAAGTGCAAAATCATGTGACCATTCCTTCCGGTCGAAACCGGAAGTGCCTTATTATTTGAAATTGGCAGAAGATGCGAACTTGCTTTCAAAGATGTGAGTGTCTGCCAGGGCAGTACTGTACACAAATATTACAGGTGACGTTATCAAATGTTAGAGCGCCCTCAGGCGGCATGTTGAAAAAGTCAAACATGGATTTAAACATGCATTGTGAGTTGATGTGTGTGACAAGGTTTGCGGTAATCCATGGCCCAACACCGTTTGGTTGTTCCTTCAACCTCTAGTTATCCGGAGGTCCCAGGTTTGAACCCCCCTCCAGTAAATTTCGCCGTTCAACCTTAAAATCATTATAAAATGCATCTTGTCAGTTTCCTGATGTGGTTTCTTTGAATAAATTTAGTATATTTGGACTAGGGATTGATTTTACATCTGTGCACAGTTAAAAATTATGTTCTCTTACAACCGATTACAGCAAAACTCTCTGTGAAAATCATCGACAGGAACAGCGAGTTTGTTGTTATTGCTTAAACACAGTGATTAATTATTGGTGAACAAGTATGGTCGAAACTGTTTGTAATTCTACAGCATCCCCGTTAAGCAACAAAAGTTATTCGCTCGTACCCCCCGCCCTGCAAACAGGACGCTGGGATACTCTGATGAGCTTCACAGAATCTTGTGAAGGAAGTGGCCTATGACCTTAGTATAAAGCATCTGGCTGCAGCTGTTCAAGACCGCAGTTAGACAATGTGCGCAAATGCTATCCGAAAACATCCCATAGAATTGCGCACATTCCATACCGGATGTGATTTCAGTATCATTGTGGACCATGTGGACACAATTTTGAGCGTCGCATAATGTAATCCAACCGTTAGTGATTCGAAACGTAGCCTGAGCGAGTGACAGGAATTGTAAATTAACAACACAGATAAATTTTACAGAATTTCCTACATTGTTACGCTTTTCAACGAGAAAAAAATCTCTAAACTGGAAAAAAAAGAGTAATGAATCAGTCTTAACGGCCGTTTCAAACATTGCAGAGTCATGACCTTGATCATGCGCAGTTCACTGGTCACGCAAAATCCAACCAATCAGAGCGTCAATTCATCAGAGTATCCCAGCGTCCTTTTTGCAGGGCGGGGGTGCGAGCGAACAAAGGTTGAAAACTGGCTCGTGCTGGATTTTTTGTTTTTGTTTTAATCGATGTTGCATGTTATTTAAAAACCCTACATATAAACGGTTAATTAAATTAATAGATCCTGTCTTGAATTTTTTTCTTCAAAAATGAGGCAATTATCAGACCTCAGCTGCGTGTGATCGGTGCGCGAAATATACAAATATTTGGGATGTGTTTGCGCGCGGTTGGGGTGTACCGCATCCGAAATTCTAATCATAGGCAGTTTATCTGGTGAAGCTCTGCAGAATGGAATACACGGAGGTAGTACATGTACATCCAGTAGTACTACACAAGCTAGTGCAGCCCGACTCACATCGGGGCTCTCAAAGCTCAAAGTCGAAATCCAAGCCGGTCCCTTTCATCCTCAGGGCGTAGATCTTGTCGAAGAGGGCGCTCTGTGCCACCGTGAAAGTGTTCTTCCAGTTGCCGACTTTTCCTGTTGTGGCGAATAAAATAAAAGGAGAAAAATATTGTTCAATCAATCCGAACACATGCCTGATGAAATGCTCCGTACAATATTTCATTGCGTAGGGAAATATTAAAAGATGGTTTTCTCGTCATCTGTCAACACTATTCTTTCAGAATCATTAACAGATGTCAAAAGCCGAAGTTCTAATCCTGGCAGAATCTTATAATACCTTACTGCTGGGTCGGGAATGTCCATTGTCATCGTTTTGTGCCACTTGGGTAAAAGGAAAGGGTTGTAAGAAACAAAGCAACACAAAAGCTTTGTTCTAAATTGAATAGTATATGAACAGATGGGGAGACACATAATAGGAATGGGGAACCATTGAAAAAAGTTTGTAAAAATCTGAAAATCAATGGAATATCACAACCACACCACACCTTTTCTAAGATACGGAGTTACTCCTAAGAAACGCGTCATCAGTTTTCCCTCCTTCCCGTGTTCCTCCTCAATCTGTTGATAAGTCTTCTGCATCCCAACAAAGGTCACACGTTCCACGATGTCATCGATGACGTCATCGGGTAGATCCTTCCCGACATGCTTTGCTAGTTTGCAAATGGAGCCCCTGAGGTCCTGAATAAAACAACGAATCAAAGTGACATTTTTGGAGCGTTTGCCTCGGTTATACATCTATATAGTCCTGAATATATTTGCCATACGTTTTTCAGATAAATTCCAATAATCTCCACTGCAGTGTAAGGGTGAATTTAATATTCGTGGAATGAACTCATTATCTTGTACACAATGGGCAATAATAACACAGTGAGTATTGCCCAATGCATAATAATCATAGCGGTGACATTGAAAGTGACAGCTTTCAGACACTTGTTACAGCTGATTAACGCCCCCACTCCTCCATCAAAGTTGTATAAGGTTTTGTGGTTTTGGGGTTTTTTTCGTAATAAATTGGTTGCCAAAAATGCTTTTTGACTCAATGGGGTCGCCAAAACCTTTGTCTCAACAGGAATTTCGTACTGTCCGTTTTCGTCTTAAGCGATTTTTTCCCATAGACATGTGCACAATTTTGCCGGGACCCAAGATATGTGGTTGTAATAACCGGATTTCGTCCTAACCGTTTTCGCTATAACGGGAACGACTTGTACATTGAAAAATTCTTTTGCTATGACGCAGAGCAGCAGGACACGATAAATGATTCTGAGGTTTGATTGGTCCGAGAGCATTGAAACAGGACAGCGTCATTGATAATGACAACCAGCCGAGGACGATGGTGACATGCACCAAGTATACGGCCTTCTGAACACGGACGTACAGTCCGTGTTTCATCAATGAAGTCTCTCTTATACGAACCTTGTGGAGATCTTCGTACTTTATAAACAGAAAATTCTCCTTGTCCCGATGGTTCCAATAGCTGAGCACGTGATCAAAACACGATCCCATTACCACTGGAGATACATGATGGAACAAACAAACAAATAAACAAACAACCCCAACAAACCAACAAACAATGGACAGAAAGTCAATACATTATTTGGGGCTTTTTTTTTTTTTTTGCATTCCACTTAAATATTATTGTGCAGTCAATATTTGAGAAAAATACAACCCGTTTAAACAAAACTAGGTGCCCGCTTTCCGCCATGAAAAAAGAAAAGGAAGAAAGAAAAGTGAAAATGAGCTAGGGATAATAGGGATTTGGGTTTTCTAATAAATAAAACCTTCTACCTTTCCCTTGGACAAATCCGAAGAACATCTCATCAAAATCCAATTGTTCTGCCACCAGGTTGTATACAGAAACGAGCACGTCCTTTGGATTTCGGGCCACGTAAATTACCTGTACCGTACATTGTACAAATTAAACAAAACAAAATTATACAACGCCCGAGTAAATCCCCTTTCTTTGATTGGTGGAGCGATGATCACATGTCATTGAATTATTCGTTCAACCCAAGGCCTGCCGCACCGCAACCCCCCCCCCCCCCGCTCTGACCACCCCCCCCCCCCCCCCCCCCCCCCAATTATAACAGTTATGGTAATAATGTAATTACCTATATTTCCGCCTGTCCGCAACAATCGCACATTTAAAAAATCTGCTGGGCCTGACACCCCCGCCCACCCCCACAAAAAAAGTCCCTGATCCACCCATGGTGGCTCAAACCAATCAGATAACAAGGTGTAGCATATTAAAAACAAATAATGAACCTTTCATGTTCGTGCAATGGAAAGATTAATTTCATTCGGTGACAGATGGACTGTTCCATTCGCCTCGTGAAATGTAACATTCCATCTGTCACTTCATGAAGTAATGGACCGATCCAGTAAGCTCCGCCTAGTGATCACGTGGGCAAATTAACACGTGCTCCTCTCCAATGCCACGCTCCATTTTCCTTCCATGTGCATCATACGCGCGTGCACG